TGCAAGAGACCCCGACCACGAGCACGCATGGCCAACAATTGAATTTCTGGATTTGAAGCTCAATCGCACAACGGCTGCAGGTGGGGCACACACACGGCAAACTAATCGCATTGAGTGGCTATCGCAAAGCGTCAATAATGCCGCCAATTATGGCCGGCAAACATTTTGCCAGTCGAGTATTTGCACAAGGCGTCCTTGTCCTTGTCCTTGGCCCTGAAACTGGAACTCGAGCCGAGCAATCAAAACGCTGCCGGGCGCAATTTGGTTTTAAAAGTGAACGAGAGTAATTTACAACGAATTTTAAATTTATTTCGATTATAATAACACGGAATATTACTCCATAAGCATGCTGCAGCCAGGAAGAACCCACTTTCCTGCCCAGCTCTTTCCCCTCTTGTTTGCCTAATTTTTGACAAACTTATTATGCACTCAGCGGGATATACAAATGGGCAAGCAAGTTAATTTCAATAAAAAGCCTTCACTTCAATCCGGTCTGCGTTCGTGGCCTTTGGCATCGCCTGTCAGCGGAGTCTGTCAGTCAGCCAAGTTAGTGGGGTGGTGGGAAGCTCCGGGCAGCAATGGGTTGCAGGTCGGAGGAAGTGGGAGAAGCCGCCCAAAAAGAGGCAAGATGCAAACGCATTGGCCACGTTACCGTTGCCCATCGGCTGACTCATGACGCGACCACGTCCCGCTGTCATTTTAGCCATTTGCGTTGTCAGTCGTTAGCCATATACGCCATGTGCGCCGCATACGAGCGACTGCGAGTGCATACAAAGGATTTGTCCGTCGTGGCCAAAGGCGCTTTGATTAATTGCCGACTTAGAGCGAATCAAAGGAGGAAGTACGAGAGAAAAGGATGCCAGGCCATTCTCGTTAGGCGAACGCCGGCAAGCCAAAACGGAAAACGGAAAACTTAAAACTGAAACCGATGCCAAATCAGACACAGAAAGCCAAAAGCTGACGTGTGGCGTTGGCGTTGGCGTGAATCACTTGAGCCAAAAGGTCAGGCCAACAAGGTTGAAGAAATGCAAACTGCAGAAATTAATTGCCGAGTTTGTCTGGTCTGGGAAATGCGGAAATTAATTGGGCGAAGCGGACAAACGACAAACGACAAACTTCGTGGCGCAACAAATTGGCAACAAATTCGGCTGGAAGCAGCCAATAATAAATGGCCAAAAAAAGGAAGTAGTGCCCAAAAAACAAAGCGTTTAGCTTCTGCGCATTTTTGCGTGAAGAGAGCAGCCTTTCAAAGAGACAAAACGGCGAAAGAGAGTCATTACCACGCACTGCAACTGCAACTGCAACGGCAGTCTGGCAATCGGGGGTCAAAAGGTTAATGGGCAACATTAATAGACATCGTACGAGGCAGTCGGGCTGGCCGGTTGGCAATGGCAATAGCTTAGCTGCAGCTTCAGCAGACATACACAAGGAAAAACATTTATGCACATTGATTACAAGTATTTGTGTGACATCAAATCCTTTTGATTAGTTGGATATTTTATGGGCCTTTCTTTAAGTGTGTCTCAGTTCATAATTGGTAACAATCGAATAAACGTGTTGCTTTCCTATAAGCCCGAACAAAGGACCCTTGAAATGTCTAAGAAATGGTGGAAGCGCAAAGTTCCTGGCATTTTCCCGGCAGTGCATCGCTATCTTTGGTTGGAGAAGCCATCGCCATCCAACGCTAATGTCGCCTTGATTGCCTGGCCCTGGGCTGGAAAGCTTTCCTCCGATCTGGGCTGGGGGCATCAAAACGAATGCGTATTTAAATCCATCGAATATGTTATTTCCCAGCAATCGGCGACGAAAAGCGAAACTTTCCCACTCCACGGACTCGCCGAGTAATGCACTTATGAGAAGCCACGGCACTGACAATTGCGGCAATTTGTATGCACTCTGCCAATTGGCCGTGCATATGATTGACTTATTGATTGGCTGGCTGAGCGATTGAGCGATTGAGCGCTTGAGCGCTTGATCGATTGATCGACAGATCGCTAAAGTGACGAACTGGCTGACACTAAGCCTCGGCCAGGCCTCAATTAGCTAAGCCGACAGTCGCCAGCGGGCAGCACCACATTTGTATACCATATAGTTGGCAGTTCATAGAACTCGGGCTACCGTTATGCGGCACCACCTATATATAGCTCGATGTGGTCGAATGCTAATTATAAGTACGCCAAATCGAGAGTCTAGACTTCATAAATAAAACGGCAATCGAACCAGCTACGTGCCACGCATGCGCATATCGATTTATTTATACTTGCGAGGGGCGAGTTAATGCATTCGCAAATATTTACGATGTCAAATGCATTGAAATGGCAATGCAAATGTGCAAAAATGTTGTGTTTATTCGCCGGCGTTGATGCCCATAAATCACCAGTTAAACATGCGAGAAAATCGCCCCAGAAGCCAAGATATGTTGGCTGTTTTGTTTCGGTTTCGGTTTCGGTGTGGCTTAAAAAAATACTTAGTAGGGCGACTTGGAGGCACGACGGCCTGCCTACTTAGCTTTTAATTTATGCGTAAGTCTGGACTTAGTAGCTTTTCAATATTAATTTCATACTCCAAAAGAGCGCGGCATGTGCAGGCCCATAAATCACAATAACACACAAATAAAGCATGGTTTATATCCATGCCGCATTCGGATTTATTACGCAGATGGGGAAAAGGGGCAGCAGCCAAAGTCATCGCTGTGGCATATTTAAATTTATGTTTCCGATGTCGTTCGTCGCTTTACGATCGTTTTTATATACATACGTGTATGTGCCCCGGATTACTTCAGCTGGCAGATAAGGGAGCGCCCAGAAATGAGGATCAACGGACTGCCTGTCTAATCCAAATGTCACAACGAAATCAGCCAAGTTTGGGTATCTCTTACCCGAGATTAAGAGTGTTTCTTGGCCAAGCTGCACCTGATCTGCAGGCCTTATGATAAACTGCGGCACAGCCCACTGAATTTATGGCCCTAAAATATTTGACAAATAGTTGGTAGCCCAGCTGATGGCAGCTTCTCTTGTAAGCTGCATTAAATTGATGAAGTTTCCTGAGCAAGCCCCTTTCTAGCCTTAATATCTTGATAATTTATTGTATTGGATTGGGCTTGCAAAAGGTATCTGCTCGTAGGGAGAAGCAGCCAAAAAGTGGGCTGATCGGTGGGAGAAATTCAACTAGGAGCTTGACCCGTTTGGGGCTTAATTGTACGACGTTGGCCGTCAGCAACGCGGACAGCTCCTACGATTTGCAACAAATCCTATTAGAGCTGCCCGAAAAGTGCCCGCGGCCGGGGCTTTGGCAAACACACAAATTTAATAAATAAAATAAAACGGAAAATAATCATAAATACAAAGAGCGCGCAGCTGTGCCACAAGCCGCCACAAGCCGCCACAAAAGCCGTCCGCAAGTGGCAAAGATCAAGCCGACTCGCGGTCCCAGGCTAAAATGGGAAAAAAACCAAACAAAAACGGTGAAAAAACTTAACAGAGAGCCAGGCTTTTTGGCGAGGGCGTGTGTAATTTGACATCTTCATGAAATAATTAAAATTATTTATTGTTAATTTATTTTCACTCTGCCGCAACAATAGATAAAGTGAAAGATAAGCGGCATGTGTGTGCATTAAACAATTGAAATTAATTTGTCAAACGTTTGACAGCCTCGACCACGCCCCCTTCAAAGAGGCGACGCTTTTGCGGCAATGTGGTGAAAGGAATGGAATTTCCGAGGCGAACTTTCACGGCGAAAAGCTTTTAGCCGGGGCCAGCGCTGAAGGTCAAGCCCGCTGGCCAATAAGGTAGCAGTTAGTCGAGTTCGCAACCGGCCCAAATGCAAATGCCGTTTTCAGGCTCACCGAAAGAAAATATTCTACGAAAAGCCAGACTTCTAGATCATCCAATTACAATGATTGCGCAGAGTTTAGATATATGTTGGCTACTCCTGTTCTGATAAAGCAACTTAAGCTATATCTGAAATATTAAAAATATCTGATATATTCTACATGGCAATAGATTTGAAAGGAGGCAGTTTTTTAACGGACGGAGTATCTATGGAACATGAATCGCTTAGCAATTACTACATGCCATACTTTTAAAATCCCATCTAAATACCACACAAGGCACGCTTAGTGATTATTTTTCCCGGTGTGCTTCCTGCCACAACAAATTAATCAGCGAGTGGCTGGGTGACTGGGTGCACTTCGGTGGGCGGCAAGCGGCAAGCGGCACTGGGGAACTCTGGGATCTTGTGAGATCAGCAAGATTTCGGCTACCTGCTGTTGAGCTGCCCTGCGGTCAAAAATCGCGAATGCAGCGAATGCAATTAAATGCAGTTTGCGGCTTGCAGGGTGCAGACTGCAGGTTGCAGGTTGCACTTTTCTGTTTTCAGTTTTCAGTTGGCCGGTCCGCACGGGCAGTTAATCATGCATCGACAGCCGGCTTTCTGCCGGCAAAACAGCAGCTCAACATTTTGGCGGTCACTTAGAAGTGGTGCCCGTGGAAAGTGTTGCGCAAAAAGCGGCTGGCAATTAAAACACGTTGTGGCTTTGCCCCTGCTTTTCGCTGGGTATGTGGATGTGGCTCCTGCTGCCATGACGCACAGATGGCGATGCTGGCCAAGAGTCCACACCGTGATGTGCGCGGCGAATCGGCTTTCAACGGAGCTCCAATCCGCAATCCGCAATCCGCAATCCACTCCATTCCGCGGCAGGAATGAGGAAACGTTTTGGTGAAAAGCCGAGACGCGTTGAGAAATGTGGTTAATTGATTTTTGTTTTTGTGTGTAATTAATTTATGGTTTCCTTTTCGATTCACTTGGCGAATCGTCGAGTTTATTGTTTATCGGCAAGACAGGTGTGTCATGGAGTTACAGTTGTGTACATTGAATGTCCAGAAGACTTGGGACTATAATCTATATTCTATAAGTGCTTCTTCCTGCTATCCTTTTTCCTTTATCCCTGACCTTGCAATTTAGTAATAATAATTTTTTTGATAATTGAATGTATCTTGCAGAATCACCCTGCATGGCTATACGACAATGTCCAATGCTCGCGAGCTGGCATTGATCGAGAAATGGGCTGACATTGCAACGCCGGCGACGCCGAATCGGCCAACACTATCGCCAACATCGCCGCCAGCACTCCACCGATCCATCGTGAAGTTCTGCTGCTGTCCGCAGCGGAGGCGCTACGATCTGAAGCAGGCCAAGAGCCACGGGGGCAGCAACAAGTCGAATGTGAACACGCTGCATGCCAGAAATATATTCGTCGATAGCGATTTCAGCTATATTGATGATGTGCCGCGGCGACGCCGAGATTGCCACAGCGATTACGACGATTGCAACTACGACTACGACTGTGGCGGCGATAAAGCAGATGATGAGGCCAATGATATCGCTGCCGCTCCAAGAGACGACGGAAATGTGGCGCTGATATTAATGAATCAACGAAATCTTTCCGAACAATGGCGGCAGGACAACAAAGGCAGCAGCAGCAGCAGCAGCAGCAACAAAGCAGCAACTAAAACTTGCGCTGTCACAAAGAGCCCGCCAAGTGGCAATGAGCAAGAGCAACACCAGCAGCAACAGCAGCAACAACAGCGACAACCAACCCAAAGACTAAGCAATAGCTTGCAACAGCAGCAGCAACAATTGCAACAGCAGCAGCAACAGCAACATAGCAATAAGGAAAATACACTAAGCTACGACAACAACAACAAGCCGCACTGTAATTATTGTAAATTACCCGACACCGCCGATCCCCAAACGAACAGCAACAGCAACTCGAAAATTGATTCACCGAAGTCGTCGCAGAATAAAATGACAATTACGACAGCGACAGACACAGAAACAGCAACTGCAACAGGCGAGTGTGGGCTGCCGGCAGCAGCAGCAGCAACAGCCGCAGCAGCAACATCCGAAGAGTTTGTGGGTGCTGCCACAGAAGTGCTGTGCAGCGATAAAGCCACATTGACAGCGGCCACACCAGCAACGGCAACTGCGGCAACTGCGGCAACTGCAACACCTAAGCCCCGCGTTGCAGCGCGTCCGACCACGCCCAGCCGCCTTAAGACTGTGATCAAGACGACAATGGTGAAGCGAAGTCCTAGCCATGACTCAACGGCAACAGCAGCACATGTGTTGCTGCCACACAGCTGCAGCAGCAGCAGCGGCAGCAACAGCGGAGCCCATGACGAGCCCAGACGTTCGGTTAGGGAGCGCATCGCCGCCTTTGCGGCAGGAAGTGGTAAGTTTCTGCAGTTTGCCCGCTTAATCAGCTTTGGCAACTAAGTCGCCTGGGCGGCGGGGCGGAAATGTTGCACATATAGTGTACACACTGTGGGAAATATCGGGCTGGGCTGGGCTCACACTCATTAGGCTAGTTAATGGCCGCATTATTGTTGCTATTAATTGATAAAGTGTCCAACTGTGGGATCATAAAAAGTACCTAAGGAAGTCCATAAAATATATGGAGCATATTTAGGTGGGAGCATAACTAAGAAGAGTTCTAAGCTTGTTGATATTTTACTGCCGTATGTAGAGCTACTTTTTGTGTGGGAAGTTAGAGGGGCGTCATTCCCTAAATGTGATTTGTTTCGGAATCCCAAGTGCTTTAATCATCCCCTTAGGGAGTCAAGTCACTGAAGGTCAGCAGAACGGAAAGCCAGCTCAGATCCTCGGCATTTCCTGTTCTGAAATGCTCACGAGATACTCGTACGTGTTTGCTGATCCAGAGATAATGCATAAATGCCAGGAAAGTGAGTTCAATTTCAGATATTGAATCTCAAGCATCTGAATCACTTTTGCACGAGCAATTACTTGGGAATTCAGTGAAACCAATTGAATGCAATTACAGCGCTACTAAAATACTTGGTAAATAAATGAAGTACGACACTGACACGTAAGGGAAATTTGTAGAAACTTTGGGCGTGCGCATAACTTTTTGTTACTTTTCTTTATATTGTTCCGACCGGGAAAAAGTGCATGAATTATGCATGACGTGGAGCCTTTGGGTTTCCGTTAACATGGCACACACCCTTGGCATTTAATACAAAGAGTCGAATCTATTACAAATCAATTAAAGCCGCAATGTTTAATAAAAAGCCACTTACGGCGGCATTAAAAACTTCCCCACCAACAGTCTGCCGCCCATTGTGCATTATGGGCATTAATAATGTGAAAAATATTTATTATAAATGCGTCTGCATGGCACTGGCAATCGACCGGGAAAGTCGTAAAAGCCGAACGATTGCAGTTTGGGTGCAGCTCGAAAACGCACTTGCAGGCGCCCAAAAAAAAAAAAAAAAACGCCGAAAGGAAAACACTCCCCGGTCAGCATTGTCACCAGCCGTAAAGTGCACTCCATTTGATTCCAGCCACGCCCCATAAACTGCAGTTTTGCACACAACCCATAAAAATGAAAATGTGGAAAAAGGAGAAATAAAGCAGCGAGGCAGCGACAAAAGGCGCAACAGGAAACACGTACACACGGCAATCGACGTCATGAGTGCGTATTATATCATTTTGATAGGCAAATGAGGCTTGAAAGCCGCCACAGCCCGTCGGTTCCAAAGACCCGAGCCCCCAGGCTCCCGCCTCCAAGAGCCCTGCCCTTAGTTCGCCCGCGCGGTGGGATGCCGAATATTTGAATACCCTTGGAAATTCTGCAGGTATCTATACTGCAAAGTTCGGTGTGATTATAGCAATAGTTTCACATGTTTTTGGCCACTAGAACGCGTATCTACTTGTAGATAGATGATAGTAGAGTGCCATTCTCATTCACTTGGAGGGGAAGGCTCCCTGGAAAGGGTATCGCACTGAGCCCAGAGATCATCCGCACTCGGGCGGCGTCTTAGGGCGCCTCTGATCTGCGCTGAGCGGCATGACGAAGACGTTGTCCCAACCCGACACACGTCAGTTCAGAGTTTTTCGCATCTGGATGCTGGACTGGGCTGCTGGACAGTGGATAGTCGAGCTGCTTCTTGCCCATCGCCCGCTAATCGCGTGTCCAAGTGTCCGAGTGCTCGCTGGTGCATTTTTGCCGGGCTGACAGCTTCTGCTGAGCTCATTTCATTTATTTATTTACTCATTCCCAGTCACTCTGGCCACTCGGCCAGTCCAGATGAAATGCATTGAGGTAGGTCCCTGCGCAGGGGGAAAATAGCAACTGCAAAGTGCACAAGCTGCAGGCAAATATTGACCGCACTGGGACTTTCCATGAGTGTGTGCTTCACAAGCAAATGGCTTGTAGTTTTGCATTGTTTTCAATTAGGCACACACAGTGACACCTCCGCAAGCGTCTCCCCCGTTTTGTGTTTTTTTCCAATCGACAATTAATCACGTTGGAGTGACCTCAGACAGCGAATCAATCAGCAGCCGCAAAACGAGAAATAAAATAAAACCAACACACACGCCCATCGGTGAATGGACGGTGGCCATTTAGCGGACACACCCGGCAAACAATTTTATTTCAAGTAAATAAGCAAATGAGCTAAATGCGTAGAAATGTTTTGTTTTCGAGCTCTTTGTTCGTGTTTGCAGAGGTACCCGTTTCCCCAAAAGTAAGAAGTAAGAATTGAATTTGTGGCCAGTCATCAAATAGAACAATGGTTGCGGTATGTGTACATATCCTGTTATTAAACTGCTAATTAGAATGCCGAATTGTAGCCAAAATGAGCCAGTCATAAGACTTGAAAAAGTTTGTTTGGAATGCGCTTTACCCTAAGTCCTTGATTCTTCAAAGAAATGTAGAAAACTCCTATTTAAATAGAAGTCAAACCTCATTTAGTTAGTATACATCCTGATGAAAAGGTTTGCGAGTGCAGTCGAATTTGGGGAAGACCTCCCATGAGCTTGCAACGCGTCACCCACACGGCGGCAAAGAGCCGTCCTTATGGGCCAGGAGTCCCGTTAGCGTTGCACAATTGAAATGCAGAGGTAAAATACTCGAATGCAGCAGAAGAAAAGTGCAGGGGAGTGTGGGCCTGGCTGGCTGCGCTGACTTCGGCCTGAACTGGCGGCCTGCCAATCGGGCCAAAACGATCAATTGGCAGAGAGACCCCCATAAAATGTGGCCAACTGTCCCTGTCCGCCGCTGACTCTGACTGACTCTCGTTTGCAGCCGCTGATTTACGAGCTCGCCACGGGCCGTTGTGTAACGCATGCGATTCAGAATTTTTAAATGCCAAGCTCCTTTCGACCAGCAGAAGTGGTGGAGTCAGTCGCTCACTCGAGGCGGCCCAAAGACCCCTGTTGCTGTTGGCTTTTAGGAATTGCTGTACGACTGTCGCCAAGTCGCGACGGTGGCGGCGACATTTTAATCAAAAAACTGAATCGAACGCACGCATGCGCAATAAAAACAAAAACCAAATCAAACCCATAAAATCCACACAGCAACAACCACAAGCGCTCTTTAACCGTTTCACTTGCCCCCGACCAGAAAAGGGGTAAAACAAAAAGACCGAAAAAAAGAAAAATAAATTAAATAAATATATAGACAAATGCCGGCCGCTTGGCGGGGTTCTTCCGTTTGACAAAAGTTCAAATAACCTTAGCCCCTATGCGAATTTCGGATTCGATTCGATTCGATTCGCTGCGAATTTATTAGCATTTATGAGGGCGAGAGTCTGGAGAGATGTGGTGTTTTTGATTAGACTCGACTCTTGCACTTCAGGGAAGGGATCTTTAAATACCCAGGTTACTACAGAAAATTGACATTCAATAAATATATCGAAGTTAGTCATGCTGCCCATATGAGGCACACACATCAAGCTGATGGCGATGACCCATTTTGCAGCTCCACAAGCTCATACTCCTTGGGCGTGACTCCCAGCTCCATAATAGAACTCCAGTGCAGATAAATAATGGGAAACACTCGGGAAATGGTTGAGGTTGGTGTGAGCCATAAATTCGTGCATGTAAATAATTGCCGGCAATTTTTTCGCGCCCGTACGAAATTAATTAAAACATTCGCGCAGGCAAACACATATGCCAAATAAAAAGGAGTTAAGTCCACACATGTGCGGGGCATGTTGCAAAATTTATGACAATTTAAATGGCACACATTTGGTGGACAATTCGCGGCGATTAGCGCAGAAATTTTCGCGAACTCGGCTCAAGCCACATGTGTCTTGAATTGCTGCTTTTTCATTTTCCCTCTCAGTTGGAAAACTGTTCGGGGTGCGCCGTCCATGCAATGACAGCTTTATGTGCAGATATATGGCCGCGATTAGCCAGGCTTATAATCTTTTGTGTGTGCTTTACTTTTCACTTACAGAGCAACAGCAGGCAGCGCGGCAACATGACAAAGTCAAGAAGTTAGCTAAAGTGCAGTGCAATAGCAATACAAATCAAAACAACATGACAGGGGAAGATGTGAAAAGTGCAATTAGCAGCAGCAACAGCAGCAGCAACCCACAGCAGCAGCAGCAACATCAAACGCTTATCAACGGCCAGGCGGCGACTGTGCCGCCAGCAACAGCAGCAGCAACAGCAGCAGCAGCAACAGGAGGAGTTGCAGCAGCAACATCTGGCCGCACGTCAGCAATCGCCGCTGACACGACGCGCTACAAATCGGGATTAAGTGATGTGGCGGCCAACGGAGACGTTGATGGTCGGCCGACTTCATCTGCCACCACATCTGTTGTGGCAACTGCCGCTCCGAGCGTTTTTAGCACCGGTTGTGCAACCATGCCGCGAACTCGCCAATACGGAAGCAATGTTGCCGCTGCACTTGCAACAGGAGCAACATCGGCCACATCGGCAACGGGTGCAACATCGCCAGGCAGCCACACCATGACAGCTGATAAGAAATTCTTAAGCCAGGCGGCGCCCGTTCAGGGGCATCATCATCATAAGCTGCAATTTGCCGATAAGGCCGACTCCGAATTGGCCGCACTGGACAACCTGGACCTGGCTCACAGCCTGGATTTATTGGACGTCGATGGCGAGGATCCGTACGGAGCTTTGCAGGAGTATCTGGAGCGTGTCAAGGTGAGTGCCTCCTTTTGTTTGGTTGCTGGCTCTGGGAAATGCAGAGCTCTTTCTTTCCCAAGTTGCGCAATCTTCGCCCCAAATGGGGGATACTTTTGGGGAATGTTGCGAGGGTTGGGTGGTTGCCCCACTTGACGCCGTCTGTTCGATTTCTGGTATTTCACATGATAATAAGCGACCATTTCTGTCCCCTTCAACCAAACCCACACTTAAGTGCAGTGAGAAAAATGTGTACTGAAATGGGAGGTACATTATTGGAATAACAGACGCGCTGGAGAGGATTCCTTAGATTGTTTTTCCACTAATAGGCATATTTAAATTATTTCTTTGGTTCCTGATCGTTGGCACTTTTTTCCCAGTGTAATCACACAATTGCCTGGGTGCCAGTCTTTCATTCGACGCCCCTCCCCGCGCCCTGCTGTCAACACGGCGTGATTTTGCAAATGATTATTTTGCGTGACAGAAAAATGTGTTAAGGCGATCTCACACACAGCCGTAATATGTAGCGCATACGCCGTGTTGCACGCCCGACTTTCCGCCGCCGCTTTGGCTGTCGTTTGGGTTGTCGTCAGCGGTCGAGTACATAAAATTTTATGTTTCTGCACCGGAAAGCGCAATATTACACACACACATCAACGATGACGGCAACGTCAACGGCCGGGGCTTTTCTTTTCTTCTATTTTATTTTATTTTCTCCCCGCCTTTTCCCTCGCGCTGTCTTCTTTTATAACTGTTTCGCGTGAATTTCCCTCATAGCTGCCAGATTTTGTTGTTATTACTATGTTTATTTGCCGCTCATGGCGGAAGCATAAACGCACGCACGCGCATTTTCCGCAGCATTTTCCGTTTACGATTCGTTCTTGCGGTCGGTGGTCGGGAAAAGTGTGCAAGCCGCACTATGAACTTGATTATATCGATTATATCTGAACTGCAATCTTAAAGCATTACATGCCAACTTAATTCCCACAAAGTGGCTTAGTAGCATGCTGTTTAAATATCCTTCTTAAGGGTCCATTTAATTGGTAGAACTCCTTTATCAACGATAACGACTTTATGGCGTTTTTAGTAGTGCGAGATTCAGGACAAGTTTAGTTTAAACCTGTAGTTTATAGGACACTTATATTCGCCATTAGTGTTCTGAAGATAACTACTCTATAAGTGCATATGAAGTACAATTTCTCCGACGCATGTGCTGAGCTCCAGATAAAATAAACTTCGCGACTTAAGTGCCTTTTCGCCATTTGCGCCAGAATGGAGCACCCACAAATCGCGCGGAAAACGCCGGCGATTTAACTGCGTTTTTTACCGCGCCAAATCAGTGCAAGGCGTTTTTATCGCCGCTGATCAACCGGGATGGCTTTATGGCAGTCCGGGCTGCACGCCATGTGCCAGATACCATATGCCGCATTTTATAATCAGTGTCATCACCTTAACACCCATCTAGTGCCCGGCCACGCCCCCAGCGCCCCCTTCCTTGGAGCAGTCGAAACGAACTAAGCCGAAGCCTAGTTTGGCTTAGTTTTTCTTGGCCTGGCGTGGGCTGTCGGCTTATGGCCTTACACTGCGGTTATTAACGCCTTTTTACACATTTTACACATTTTCCCCCTGCTCCACCTCCAAATGCAACTAATTTTTTGGCTAAATTGAAATTATTAGCCGGCAACTGTGCCTAATGATGACAAAATGTGTCACAGCGCTGCCCACGCAGGCCAAAAGCCTTTCTTTTCGGGCCAAAAGCAGTGGGTGGGGGGCGACGTCTCCTTTGTGCGCATTTATTATGACAAATAGTGCAACGTTTTGACTGGAAATTGCCGTTACACGCTAAGACGCTTGTTGGCGTGGCCTCAGGCTTAATTTGGATACACTGAGTCAAAAAATGCTGGAAGTGGAAACGAAATGTATTAGTTGACCTATTTGGTATCACTTTAGACCCAATAAAACTATAATTGCTTTTCGAATATTCAAATGTGAAATTCCATCCATTTTTTCTATTATTGCAATTGCCTATTTTCGAAGTGTAGTTATGAAATGCGTTAGTGGAGGCGGTAATCACCGCCTGACCCATTTAAGACGCACCGAAACGAAACGAAGCGAATCCATGACAGGCGGTGGCAACTAGTTTTTTTCGTCGCGCTTCCTGCATCAATTAGCACTGGCTTTTGCACAGATTTTCCATAATTTTACATGGACAAGCTGGCTGGGGCTGACTGGGGATGGGGAGGAGTTTTCCCGTTTAAGCAGCCATTAATTGGCGCTCGTCAGCATCGACTATGCGGCTAAGTAAGCTTAATGCATCAATCAAGCTTTCAGCATGACAACGTGTATAAATATTGCCTTTCTGCCATTCGAAAATCTGATAAGTCCGGCGCACAGTTTGCGTGTGTTCTCGAATGATTTTAATTATAGATATTGACAAAGTGGCGATGGGAAATTAAGACGTAAGCCTGCTGCTGCTGCTGCGCCCAGGGATTGTTTTTTGGATTTAGTTTTCAGTTTTCAGTTTTCGATTTTTCGATTTTTGATCTTTCGTTCTTCGATTTTTGTTTGGAGTTTAGAGTTTGGGCTTGGCAGCTCTGGCTGGTTCGATGAACCCGCAAAAGTATCTGCTTTAGCCAATTATGCGAATGCTGTTAATGAATGTGGGCGACGACTTGCCTTAGGATTATCTATATGGCTTTATGCAATGGCTCTGTCACTTGGCGAATGCGAATGCGAATGCGACTGCAAATGCGACGGCGCAGCTGCCTAGAGAAAGTTGTCTTTGCCCAATTTGCAAATGACGTTTTTTTGTCAACGTCAAACGGCGAACGGGCCAAAACAAATGGCAATAAAAGGCAGCGCCTGCCTGCACGTTACTATTTTTGTCAACCGGGAGTTGATCTGGCAAAACCAAAGAAAATCCCACAGGCCTCCGATGATGCCAAATGGAGTCAGAAAATCATCAGTAAAACAGAAAAAAACAGCAGAAAGGCTGTGGGAGAAGTTGAAACACCAAAAAACTGAGAAGCTGATACTTTGAAATGAAAGTGAAGCGACAAGAGACTTCTACCATTTCACCGGCAGCAATCATAATTGCAGACAGCAATTAAGCCGCTGTCACAGGCTGCCAGCTACTCATGCTGATCGCGTTACAATTGCAGTTGCAACGTTGCAGTGCTGCAGAGTTGCAGTGCTGCAGCGTTGCATGTTGCCAGTTGTCAAGTTCGGCTCGCTGACAATGCGTTGATATTTTCCGACAAGCAAATCAGCAGCCACCAAGTCAAAAAAAAGAAGCAAATAAACCAAAAGGCCGTGCCACAAAAATTGAGCCAATTTGCTGATGCCGAATCGAAGCTCACCACTGGGAATCGCATTTTGCCCGGACTTTCTTTTCCTCTAGCCGCTTGCCACAAGTGACGCAAAGTAGCCTGCTGCTCGATCTTCAGAGTTTTGAAAGCAAATGGAAGCCTGAGGAGGATTTGCCTCACTTTGCTGAAATATGAATGAATAGCTTAGGAGAATAACCAAATGAACTGTTTGTAAAACTCAAGTCTTGTATCAGCATCGCTTTAAGATACACCTACTACAACCATATTTACAAATTCCGAACAATCGAAGCCACCGCCACCTCCACGTAACCTTTTGCCAATAGGACTGAATGTGGTACTTAAAGGTTTTTGTTTTGATTTATGTAAGAACGGTAAGCTGGGCTACTGGGATTTCTTCCGAAGCTGTCACAGCTGTTTAGCACTAAGCTTACCCAACTCAAAGCCTCCACCTCGGTTTCAGCCATTCTGGCTCTGAAAAAGCTGCACGTGAGCCAACCACTTCAAGTGTCATTGCCCAGCCGCGAGTTGAACTCCGAGAAAATGTGTAGTACGAGCATATGTGGACGGCTTTGCCTGCATTCTTCTAACCAAACGTAGGTACACATATATGCATATACACACTCCATGTGAAGTGCCATTGAAATTATAATGATCTTCAGGGGATTTCGGACCGATCGCTCGGACGTCGGGCTACCAGAAAACGAAAAATAAAGAGGCCAAATCGAGTTGGAGATGGAGATGGAGATGGAGGAGCACATGGGTATTATTTAACCAATTTGTTGCTGCCCGCTTTTGGACCTGGCTATGACCTTCAATGGTCATTTGTTCAAAAACAAAGCGAGCTGGTCGCTGGCTTACCAAAAATACAACAAAAACACAAAAAAAATACAAAAAATGAGGAAAAAGAAAAATATTTTGACGTTGATGTCGATGTGGTCAATGTCAATGTCAGAAATCGGCTGAAGTGGAAAATTTCAGCTCACAGTGGCTTACAAGTTCAGTGCTTCTCCCGCTTTTTGTTTAAGGTCCAGTGCTTGGCTAATAAGCCAAACTCGCGTGATTGATGTGCGTTTGGGGATTACATGGCCCTTGTAGGGCTGACCTTTGCAGTCGCTCAGCAGCTGTTTTCGGTTTTCTTCTGCCGTTGTTCTACAATATCCGTGTATCTGTATATCTGGCAGCATATCGCTGATGTGGCATCAACTGCGTGCCACGCCCGACTGTCTGCAGCTGGGTTTCAGGGCTCCATCGGCGTCTAGACTCGATGCTGGGCACAATACTGATTGCATTTAGCGATAAATTAGCCAATGAATACAATTAAAATAGGAATACTCGCGCTGCAACCACTTTGCCAAGGGCAACGGGGCGAGACCTTCGCCGAGAACACGGGAAAAAAGGCTTTGCATATACAAGTCAATCGGGTTCAGAATGGATAAAGTTCCATTAAATTGGGTAACTTTAACTGCTTTTAACTGCAGTTTTGAGCCCCCAATTGAAACAAGTTTCTCGCAGTGCAGTTCTGAAAAGGCGTCCCCAAGGGCAAAGCAGCCGATCAACCTTCAGCTCGCAACGATCCGATGCGATTTCTCTCACAATCAATTGCATGCTGTACTTTATTGTGTGCCATATAGTTTTGTCTACATGAGTCGAGGAAAACGGTGCCCCAAGCCGCGAACTCAAGAGCCAAATAAACCCAGTCCGAAAACGAAACTCGCCCGCCGCATTTAAATGTTTAGGTTGTCCGTATCAGTGTCCACATGTGGATTAGCCGGGTGCGATTGCGTTAATTGTGTCCCGTGGGCATCGTTGGAGCTCCGGAGGCGCTCCTCCGCTGGCCAGGATGAGGATGAGGATGAGGATGGGGTTTTCACCTGCCGCTGCTGGCGCATGCTCGGATTGCCAATGAAGCGGACTTGGGGCAACAGCAATTGCTGCGGCAGATCGGCTGACATTGATCTTGTCGAGCGCAATCTATTAGCGGGCAGTCGCCAAGAAGCCAATGATGCAGCAGCATCCTCCAGTGACAGTGATGGCCTGACTGATTGATCGTAACCATTAATTTTATGCGTTGACATTCTCAGCGGCCAGTAGTTGTTGCTGTCATCTGGCCATTTTCCAGCACCCGCCACCCGCTCACCCGATTTCCCGGCACCGACTGTCAAGTGCCGCTTGCCGCGATTCGGAACGAATGGATCGTCGGCGTTGTAAAGATCCCGGAGCTGCAGCTTCTTGCCCCGGGTGGCAAAGAAGGGATCGTCCACTTGGAGGAGGTTGAGGTTGCGATGCTTTTTGCCGCGATGCGGATAGAACAGGTCGTCATACTTGAACAGATCCTTGACCTTGTCGCGCTTGCCGCGATTGGGCACGAAGGGTTCGTACCGGTTCATCAGGGCGTCCAGGTCCAGCGATCCGCTGTGCTTGCGACCTCGAGGCGGTATGAAAGGATCGTTCTCCTTGCTCATGTCTCCTGTAAAAGGCCGTCGAGTTAGCATTACTCCGAATACAGTAGATTACCCAAAGGTTGTGGCAGATTTTGAAACGCACTCACCTCCAAACTGATAGCCATCAAACAGCTTTTCCCTTCTGACCAGCACATACTGCGGCTCATCCACAATAAGAGGCGGCTCCAAGTGGCCGGATAGATTCAGTTTCCTCCACAGAAACATTCCCGGGTAGTAGTTCTCGGCAGCGCCATCGCTCAGGTTGCCCAAAGGACGCTGAATGGGATACAGGAGCTGCATGGCCCAGTGCAGGAACTTCATGAGATCCTGTTCGCCAGTCAGTAGCATGAAGACCTCGTTGTTGTTCTGCTCCTCGTCGTCAACGTCGTCAGCGTCGTCCACGTCCTCCTCCTCGGAATCCGAGGAGGAGCTGGCCCCCGATTCAGAATCCTGCATCGAACTCAGCTGCATGTGGAGGCGGGACAGGGCCTCTTTGTTCCTGATGAGGCGGAATAATGAGGTTGCGGTTTCTATAGTCTGATTAATGCCCCGTAATTTGTTCGGTTTAAGGAACAGCACATTTTCACATTTTTCTCTTTGGTCTGGAGCGTGGGTTGCGGCCATGGGTTTCAATTACGCTTGTTGGCCAGAGTTTCTCTTTTCAAAAATTAACTGAAACCGACGACACCAAATTGATGGACTTCTTTTTCCCACTCACAACATGTGACCCCAAAAAAACGCCTAAACTCTTCGCTTATCCGAGGCTGTCAGGCTGATCCAATTCAATCAAAAGTCAATTTGAGGCAATTCCCCAGAAATTACTGTGTAATATTACAAATTAGACGAACAGCAACAGCAATCGAAGTTATGCGGGCTCATGGTTAATTAATCAAACATTTAACAAATCAACAAAGGCGAACATAGCGAACATAGCGAACAGAAAACAATAATGATAAGGTCCCAGCCCTGAGATGATTAATTCGAATTTAATAGCAGCGCCCAATAATTTTTCAACACAGCATAATATTCCGCTTAAATTACAAGCCGCAGCCAGGAAAGAAAGAAATGTTTTAAAATAAAACAAAAGCTGGGCGAGAGCAATATTTCTCGCTCGCCGAAATGAAAAGTGAAACTCGTAATGCAGTTTGCGTTTCGATTTCGTTTCGGGGCAATGAATTTGCTGACAGTTGTTATTTTATAAAATAAATCAACATACGTGGCGGCGTCTCCTGGCTCTGACTTGAAACAAAACTGCAATCGGCGGTACTGATTTTTTCACGCCCATTAATTGGTTTTGCGTGTTCCCAGTCGACAGCCAAATTGTCGACGATTTGTAGCCCCTCTCGTGGGTTTGGGTTAACCTTTTTCGGCGGAGCCTGGCGCCCTGAAAAGGGTTAGCATTAACCCTCGTTTGGCCAGATTGTCAATATTCACAGGTGAACAAATGAACTTTCTTTGCCAAAAAGTAGTTGTGGCAGACATTGGCATCTTTGGGGAATTTTAAAATGCTCTACTGAGGACGGCCCAAATGGATAGCTTTGGCCTTAGTGGGTTAAGTCGGCACTTTGGCTGCCAAATCGGCTTACATGTAAGGCGGAAACGAGCTGCTCAACTTTCTCGACTTTCCTTCTGTGCAGCCTTGAACCTGCTGGCCAATCTCTGGCTGCCACTTTGCCACCCACATCCTGGACTCTTACCTGGCCGCCAGCATGGTGCGATAGTATTCCTGCGGACACTTGCTGGCTCCGCCGGATCGACCCTGGCAACGCTGGCCCCAATACCGCTGAGGGGGCGTGGTGCGATAGTTGCTGGGTCCCGGACCCAGACCCAGTCCCATGCCCAGTTCCATTCCCATTGCAATTTCCTGCGGCGCTGATTGCCTGGCCCCTAAATCATCTGCGTTTCGATTAAAATCCTCAGAGCGCTGCGGTGCTGCCTGCTCCACATCGACCAGGCTAAATTTTCCAGCATCCATGGCTCCACTGCCTTTGCCGTTGTGCAGCATATCGCGCAGTGCATCGGCGGGGCTGTCAAACAGGACGCGTGCATCCTTTTTCTGGTGCAGATGCTGCTGCTGCTGCTGCTGCTGCTGCCGTTGGTGGCTCAAGGCCGCCTTCGTGGCCGTGGCGATAAGCGATGGTGGCAAAGATAGGACCACATTGCCATGGCCATGGCCACCGCCGCAATAAATCGCCAGGCAGAGGCTGAGCCAGGCCAACGTGAGCCTCATGCTGTCTGCCGCCGTGGATGGAGGATCGAGGACCGACTTTGGACTCCAACTCAGCCACTCCGACTCGAGTCTCTCGAAGCTGTGCCAATTTTTATTTCACTCCACTCCTGCCTCGTCGGCCACTTTGAAGAAGCCAGTTAGCCAGTTAGCCAGTTAGCCAGTCCGCGGCATCCGCTGCGATTTGGCTCTTAGAAAAACGGAGCGACTGAAACTGAAAGTTACTGGCCAGCGGTCCAGCTTTTTATAGCACCAGAACCAGACCGAGAACGAGACGAGACGAGATCCAAAGGCCAAAGGAGCGGCCCGCGGAGTTTTGGGAATACGCCTGCTAGTCGCGCTCCACAGACCCCTGGTCACATATGACAGCACTCAGAGAAATCGGAACGGAGTCAGAGTCAAACTAAATGCTCCAGTCTGAGCGCCATGCCTCGTCATAAAATGAAACATTGAAATTCCTCACTATTATTAAGCAATGAATAGATCACTATTGGCAAACAAAAATATGTTTATGTTTTTACAACATTTTTATAAAATGACTGCAGTGCACGAGGCCCGGCAATGCCAATTGTTTGTCATAAGCGGCGTAGCATGAAATTAATAAAAAGAAATTGCATTGTGCGCAATGTGGCGACGAGCTGGGAAATGTGGCGACCCACTTGAGATGGCCCCAAGCCAACTCTCATACGTCACCAGTTGAGTTTGAAATCAGCCGAATCAGTGAATCAGTGGGCCAAACTCGATTGGAGTCCGGCTTTGTTTGCCTAACCTGTGAACCCAGAACCGCCTTCACAAATTAGCCAGCCAACTGCTCACCAATGCCCGAGTGGCCCGTCGATAAGATCTTGGAGCACGCGGCTTTCTTTCAAGCCCCCAGAAGCAATAGACTACCTTTGAAAATTTATTGCCTGCTAATGCTCGATCGCATTTGTCTGGCAGTTGCCCTTCTGGCAACAGGAGCCGCCACAAAAAGGGGGAAAAATGGGCAAAAGGGGGAAACAAGGGCCCGCAAACAAAAACACAATTGTTGAGTAATGAGCACTGCACGTTATTAATGTCACTGGGGAGCCGGGAAGAAGGGCACAGGGCACAGGGACCAGTTTGCTGGGTTCTGGGTTCTGGGTCTGGGCCACGATTTTTAATTAAGTAATTCGCTGACTTTGTTAGCCCTGTGGGCTCCATCTGTCTCTGATCTTCCCTGGCGACCATCCGAGTTCTCTTCCAGTGCTTTTGCCTTTTTCTGCTTTTTGGCTGCTCTTTTTAGCCGTGTTTAATCTGGCTAACAAATTGCTTCATTTCAATTTATTTGCATTCGAGTCGTGTTTCGCTGGGAGTTCGTGGCTGCAGTTTTCTGTTCCGATGCGAGTGTGGAAAACCTTTGCTGCCTCTGCGGTCGTGTTCTAATTTATTTGTCTTTGATTGTGCCCATGTCTCTCCGGGATGTCTCCTGCGGTCGTGTCCTGGCCTTTCTTTTTGGCCCTGTTTGCGGGCCAAATTAAGCAAACATACATCATAGTCGGGGGCCATTAGAAGAAGCTCTCTGCGGACGCGAATGTGGCGCTCTGGGCGCGATTAATAGACCACTGCCTTGATATATGTGCGCAATTAGAGCGCTAATCAAAACCTAATCTCCACCACAGTGCGCAATTTATGGGTCTTCTTTGCTTGGGCAGAAAACTAACAGCGAAGGGGATTAAACGGTGGATTGGTGCTATTATTGTTTGTGCCAAAACATTAAATTATAGAGCATTTCATAAAATATCCCCCATGTCCACTATTTCTCCAAGTGCACCTCACTACAACTGCCATTCTAATTTCAGCGGGAAATCAACGAGGTCTTCGAGCTGCGCAAGGTCCAGCGCTTGGAGCAGCAGCTCCGTGAGCAGCTGGAGGAGCGGCTATCGCAGGCAGGAGTCCAGCAGCTTGATGAATTGTCTCGTTCCACGGAATCAGATAGCGGCTTTGACAGCAGCAGCACCACAGCCACCACAGCCACATCGGGCACACCAGCAGCAGCAGCAGCAGGAGCAGTCACATCAGGAAAGCCAGTGACAACTAAACTAAGGGCACTGCCCCCGCCGCCCCTCAGTCCCAGCAAGACCACGACGAACTCCATGCCCACTCCACCTGTCCAGGCGGACGATGTTAACATTTGGGCCTGCAAGTTCCTACGTGATCTGGACAGTCTGATGGCCGCCGGCGATAAGCTTCCCCCGCATCTGGCGGCCCTGGCCGCAGGATCCGGTTCCGGTTCTGCCAGCAGCTCGCCCACCTCCAGGACGGCGCCCATCCTCCTGTCCGCAGCTGCCTCGGCGGCCATCCAGAGTCGCCTTGGCAAGGGCTCATCCTCCATCTTGGAGCATCAACTGCAGCAGCAGCAGCAGCAGAACGGACTCGTCTTGAAACCAGAGAAGCACGTGAGTACACAGCTCAAAATACTAACAGCCTTAAATAGGTTATTGTATCCAATTCATTAACTTCATTAAAAGGACCTAAAGATATGAAAGCGATTCTCTGCGCCGTTTTTAAGGCGCTTACATACTCCATGCCTATTTAGGGACACATTTGAATGACTTTTAAATTGCAAATCAGCGTTTAAAATTCCAAAGAAGGTTGAGCCCCTGGTGTATGCATGTGTTCTGCAGCTTATGCTGAGATTTCCTAATCTCAAATCTCTGAAATTTCCGTGTAATCTCTGGTTGCCTTAATTTCGACATGCCAGCGAGCAAACAGCTAAGCATATTTTCTGAATGTGGGTTAGATAAAATGCGCTCAAGACAAAGGCATTTAATCTGAATCACAACAATGTTGTCAACACACACAGGCAGCCACACAAACTCTGGGGGCCACACACACGGCCTGCCCCCAAAAAGGGCCAACTTCCCCCAGAAATTCGGTGAGTGAGGAATGTTCTTTCAAGAACTGCCATATGTTCCATCCATCCATCCATCCATTTGCCGGATGCGCAACTGAGGCGCGTGAAATTTATGGCCGGCGGAGTTGAGGAGTCGGAGATGGAGCTGAGGATGAGCACCCAGATGGCAGTGGGGGCCACGGAATTGGTCCGTTGATAGACAGTCGTCACTCGGCGGCTGGCACTTGAACGAGTTAAACTTTGAACCGTTTGAATAGGATAGACGGCATGTTTTATAGGAGTTGCATTTTTCGGGGCTTCGCTGCGCCATAAAATGCATAATAAAATGCTCTAATTAGTGCAGTTCTTACCCAGCTTCAGATTGAAAGACAATTGGAGATTGATTGCCGCGCAGAGAGTCGTAAAATATGCTCTAATTGGAATCATAGGGACGCGGAGGAAAAGGGCAAAGTTTATGAAGCTGCTGGCAGTTCAACTCCTTGATAAGCCAACAGGAGCTGCTGCTCTTAGAAGCTGAAAATATAATAAAACGGAAACATTGATAACAACAGAAACTCGAATAGTTTCAGCTATTAAAGCTTGTGCTTAAACTAACACTAGATTTTTCCAAGTGCTTTGCTCTTTGTCTTGGGAAAAGTGGCTGCAATCTTTGGCCAACTCGCTGACCCACTTCGACCAGTCGAGGCCCATAAACCATGGGACGCCGAAACAGACCAACCAACTTGTTAGCTGTCTCTGGCTTATCAAGCCGAATATATCTAATTAAAACATTTATAATCCAAAACGGCACATAAACGGCACTGAGCTTGCGGTCTCCTCCACGGCTGCATATGCATATGCTTATGCCCCTCGCGGGTCCCCGACTTTTGAGGTGGAAAAACCTCAAAAAGGCAGCAGCCGACTGGCTGCCAGAAGACAAATATTAATTTTCAAAACGCGTGCCATGCCAAGCCGGTGGAAAAACACGACATCAACACCGAAAACCGAAAGCGAACCCCAAAAACCCACAACCACCGGGGAGGCGAAGTGCGGATGGGGAAGGGCTCCATTGTTGGCGTTTCTGTTGACAACTCGAAATATTTGCCACCAATCGATATCGTCTCCTGGCCCATTTCCTTTGCACTCCTTCTAGTTGCAGGCCGAAAGGAAAGCGGAAATCATTTTGCCTGGATCTGTTTACTGCCAAGTACAGCTGAGGCCACACAAATAGGTCATAGGCAGCAAGAGTTCGTTTAAAGTGTGTGTTTTATTACGTTTACTTAGTGCAAAGGGATATTTTCTGACTGAAGTAGCTTTGCCATACTTTTAGTATGCTGTGAGTCCATATTTTTGCGACCGCAACTGTATCTCTTGCCATCCGCCTGCAAAAAAGCTGTCGAATTTTTGGATACTGTCCCGTGACTGTGAAAAAGAGCACTCCCTTCACTGCAGCTGTCATATTTCGCCCTAATCGCTCAGGTAAAAGTGCCAATTAAAAGCGCTTAAGCCCCACTGCACTAATTAAGCCAAAGAATGCGGCCGACTTGCCAGTTGCCAGTTCGGTCAATCAGTCAGTGAGACAGTGGAACTGAGGGCCATGATTTATGAGCCACCAACGGCAGCATAAATCAAAGGCAGCCAAATCGGCCTTTGCATCGAGGGCACAAGTGCGTGTTCGGTTTGCCAAAAATCGGCTGGACAAACTGTCAATGAAAGTAAAGCAGCAGGCAGAATCTCATTTTTTGCCAGTTTTCCAGCTTTTCGTTTCGTTTGGTTTGACTTGGCTTTGGTTTGGTTTGGTTTCGCTGGAAAGCAGGAGTGCACGAGTAGAATGAACTGGGTCAGCATGCCGCCCTGCAGCAAGATCAGCAAAGTCGGATGCCAGGGAGCCGGCGGAACACTCCACTTCACTTTTTGCCTGGGCTGTCAACACGGCGGCAGACCGAGCGGAACCCAAAACGCAACAATTTAGTGGCCCGCAATGCTCATGGGGATCGATGGGGCACAGGCCCATGTTCAGATGCGCCCTGCGAAAGTGAATCTTGTGCAGCATGCAACATGCGTGTGGCAGGGGGCATCATCTGCGGCCAACGCAATGCGCTTAATGATGATGAACCATGCAGATGCTGCAGCAGATGTGAAGGATGCACAAGATGCTGCTCGGCACTGAGCGAAAGGGCTGGGAATATGGGCATATCATGATGTTCCTTCTGCAATCTTCAGTCCCAGCTGCCTCCATTTGGGTAACGACTTTTCTCGCAGTGCAGGCCGTGCAAGGCTGCCCAGACAAAAGGCCGCGACACACAAAAAGCCTTTTCCGCAGCTCAACGAGCCCCAGACACTTTGACTTAAGTAGAACTTGCAAATCACTGCAAGGCAAACAAACACGATGCTCGACAGAAATCAGGAGGAGCTGCCAGCTGGCCGTTGGACAGGGGATAGGGCGCAGTGGTCAGTGGCCAGCGGCCAGTGATCGGCGATCAGGGAACAATGTCCGGAGGAGGACGATGGGCCGGGCAGGCGTTTAAGTGTTTTGATTTGATAATTATTATCAGTGCGCATGCGTGACCGCGGGCCTCCGCGTCCAGTCATCCAGTCATCCAGTCCACTCATTTACGTGGCAGTCGGGGCATGTCCAATCGATTTGCGATAGTCTGGCCGGGCATGATCAGGGGCTCTTCAGTACTTATGTATGTTGTATGTTGTCCACTTTCTGGGTCACATATCAATAAAAGTGGGGCGCTGAGGCGTTGGCCGTGCATTTGTCACTCGACTTTCAGCTTTTCAGTTTTCAGTCATCGATATCGAGAGCGGCAAACAAACGCTGTGCATATGTGTATTTTGTTAGATTTCGTGCGCCCCGTTTTTATGATCAATTAGTAGCATTTATACAGTTTCTGCCTCCCGGAAATTCTTGATAACCCCAGCGGCGACCTAGAGGAAAAACCATTTTTATGTGTCATTTTGTGTTCATTTTATTGCATTTTTCATTAACTAACCGAAGAAAACATTTCATTTGTTTTCCATTCCATTTCCCAATCGTTCTTCGTTCTTCGGCAGTGTTGTGAGAAATGCTCACAATTTTATGACATTTAAATAAGTCTTTGTCAGCGTTTCGGATATCGGATTCTACTGCCGCCCATAAAACTGATTTGAATTTTCCCCAGCCATAAAATGCTTCAATTTCAATCACAGAAATCCAACGGACGCAGAGTCATAGGAAATTGCTTACATATGTAAAGCAGATTGGGCATTGAGAACGTTTCCTCTCTATTTTGGCTGCCCTGATAAAATCGCTAAATTAATCGAGTGTGCGCGGCAAAATAGATGATCTTCGGCCTGATAACTGGCCGTAAAGTGGTAAAAGTTTTTATTTTCCGCTCGCAGTCGGCGCCCGGCTGCCTTTAAATGGCCATATGCCTGCTTCCCTACCATGCCCATAAACGCCAATGATCTGGACGCCCAATTAATGCGTCGCCGGCGAGAGTTGGCGGCTCATTAACACGCAGTTCACTCAGATGCTCCGATGCTCAGATGTTCAGATGGCATCGCCATCGACTCGTCTTTATTAATAATTCATAGACGCTGCCGCAACAGGCTCTGCCGCTCCAGACTGCTCCAGACTGCTCCATAATGCATTACCAATTTGATATCGAAACGGCAACAGATGTGGTGCTCGGTTCCCAAAGGACGCCCCTGACTGACTGGCATCCGCATCCTGCGACCATTTCTGCATGGGCGTCGTCTGGTCCGGACACTCGATTAGGGGGATCTGTGCAGCTGGCCATCTTAAATGTATTTTCGGGTTTCAGAGCAGCACAGATTCAGCACACATATTGCCAAAGATCATTTGCCCTGCATAGAGAGCACTCCAGATTGTTTCATTCCAATGGTCTTTAATCATACTGGTACTGCTTATAATTTGCACTTGAGCGCTTAAATATTTAAACAATAAACTGAAGCACTTGGGCTGCAATGTTAACTGGAAATGCCTAAACGCTGGGCATTATATTCATGTTCTTATAAAAGCCCAGCCATTCCATATTGATTGCTTTCGGGAACTCGACTGGCAACTTCCATCAGGCTGCGATACACTTTTTGTGCCTGCAATTTCGCTGGCCAGCGATTCGCCCAAGGCCCCCAAGGAATTACGCTAACAGAATCAGCAGCAGCTACATCAGCAGCAGCAGCAGCAACAGCAGCAACATGCAACGCAGCAACCTGCTGCAGCAGCAACGCTGTGTTCCCGGTTTTGAGGCCGAGGCTCGAGGCATAAATACACATTTTTCTCTGCCGATAAATCATTTAAATCAATTTCCGCCTGTTGCCGCCGCAGCCAGGATTTTCCCCGCCAAATGAGAAAAGCAAATTGTCAAACGCTTGCCAAAGGCTTGTAAATCGAGTTGACATAAGGCACTTATCCCCCAATAAAACATGACCGTGAATAAAGCAGCAGACATGCAGCTGGGTGCACCACGGGTTCTTAGAACTGAGAATCGGCTGTTATCACACGCGGCTTATAAATCATAAGCCGAAACAATAGGGGAAGTCGGCTTCATTGAGATGCCTTTCCTCGGAAATAAAAAAAGCAAACCAACTAACTTGTCTTGGCCAAAGATTTGCATAAAATACGTAAATTCTTGCGCGCTCCACTTGACAATGTCTAAAAATTCCGCTGATGTTTCCTTTTTCGCATTGTCCCAGGCCTTTGGCTTGGGCTCCCCAACAAGGTAGCCCCGATTGGATTGGAGTCGGAGGCTGGGGCTAGCCAGGTCCACCACGCTCATTATGCATTCAAGGTCCTTGTTCGCGGAGGTTGAGGTTGAGGTTGCCGCCCTCGAAACTGTCAGCGGCACTCAGTGTCGACTTTTCTTTATTAAACCTGACTGACTATATTTTAATAAGTTAACTTGTTCTTCTTCCTGCTGCACTTGCCGAAAGTAGGCCTACGTTTGCTTGCAACTCCAGCCAACTTCACTAAGCATGGTCTTTTGGTTTTTCAGAACTCTTAATCTCAGTAAATCAAATTGTTACCATGTGTTATATATAATTTTGTATAAATTTCGGTATGTTTTTAAAGCAGTTTTCTAAGTGTATTCCTTGCCTCTTCCAGGCCACCATTCCATTGCAATCGTTTTACCTTGATTGCGGACGCAACGAGCCATCGCCGGCAACCAAATCGAATGTTGCCTATATGCGCACCCTGTCGGCGCCGAATGGAGGATTCGCCAGCGGCGGAGGAGGAGCAGGAGCAGCCGGCGGATCTGGAGGCGCAGCACTCCCCCCGCAGAGTCAGCGCAAGAGTCTGGCCTGCCCCCCACTTAATGGCCAAGCGGACACAATAACGCCGACACCGGCAACTCATAAGCTGACAAATTTCCAAAGCGCATTGAAAATCGAGGAGCTGGCGGCGGCCAAGGGAACGGCGATGGCAACAGGTGAATCGCAACTGGCGACCACCATCGAGGACTTGAAATCTAGGCGACAGCGACAACTGAGCGGCGGCGACATGGACACAATGCTGGCCTCCCAGCCGATGTCGATGCCAAAACGGGTGGGCATTAATCATGCGGCGCTGACGAGCAGAAATGCCATAACCCCGCCGCCGGCGTCCGCCTCATCCGCAACCCAATCAGCCGCCTCCGTTCACTCGGCCAAAGGCTCCTCCGCCGGCAGCACCGCGCCCGGCTACCTGGTGGATGTGACCAAAAAAGGATCCACGTCGACCATTTGGACCTCGGAGGAGTCCATTCTGCGCAGCGTTGGCGCCGTCGATGAAGACAATAAGTGAGTGCCCACATTGAGACATTACGCTCGGAGAAATTGCTTGCGCTTGACCAGATACTTTAAACTATATACCATACTTTAAACAAACTCTTAATTGTAAGAGATACACTCGTGAACTTCAAAGTCAAGCTTTCGTTTTTCCCATATTAAAGTCCACAAGCAAGCACTGCAATTTGTTCCGAGTGTAATGAACACGCCTTTGAATTGATTTGTCACTGTCTTAACACGCCATCACTTTGCAGCTCCACTTCGTCTTCCTCGGCCTGCGAAGAGGCGACGGGTGTCCTGAGCTCCGGCAAATCGGGCATTTCGCTGGACTCCTCTGGACTGGACAACGACAATAACGAGAGTGGCATTGGCACAGCCACGCCGCCAAAGGACATGTCCCACTACTGGAAGAGCCACCACCATCATCATCATCACAGGAAGTGCGCCGGAAGTGCCCAGGACAACGAGTCGGTCAGCATTTTTGAGGCGCTGCGCAAGATGAAGCTGCAGAAGAGCGGTTCGGTGGCCTCCTCGGACGATCCTGACGTCCTCGAGGTCCTCAGCCAATGTGGCAGCGGTGGCGAGACCAATGAATCGCAGGATGACATGTTGGACGAGGAAAAGGACAAGATGAGCAAGTCGCAAGAATATGACGAGATGTGGGACTGCGACTGCACGGATGGCGATGCCAGCAGTGCCAGTGGTGGCGGAGGTGTCGCCGCCACCCCAGTGGTGCTGCGGCGCAAGTACACTGCACCACCGCCCATTCTCGTGCCCAGAACCCAGAGGAGTCACTCCCTGGACCACTACCACTCACCGCAACCGCTCGTGCATCCGCGCAAAGTCCTGCCCATCCACCACCATGCCATCAAGAACAAGGAACGTGGACAACTGTCGCTGGTCCTGAGACAGGAACCATTCCAGTCGCTTCTGAGTCCTTCGGCCACTGCAGCCAATCAGTTGCACCACTTTGTGGAGCTGCCTTCGCCCAGCAGTGCCTCGCTGCACAGCGGATTGGGGGATTCCGGTGGCATCCAGGAGCTGTGCACCAAGTCCAACTCGGCGCCGATGCTGCTCAAGGAGCGCGAAATGAGTCGGCGATTCGACAATTTTGAGGCCCAGCAATTGGTGAGTGTAACGAAAACAACTCGAGGGCAACTAGCTGCTTATGTTTATCTTGGCCTGCAAAGAATAATGTTTGCTTCAATTAAGAGTCAATTAGTGATTTAATCCAGTCCTTATTGTTTGCTTATTTGCTTAGATACTCGTACATTTGGCAGGCTTTTGTTTAGCTGCACTTAAATCCGCAAGTCGAATTTAAAACTCGTATTCTGATCATCCTTCTGACTCCATAGTTCCACTTAACTCCTTATTCAGTTCAAGGCAACTCGCACAATTTATCTTGCTTTATTCTTGCCAAGTTCGGAGAAGGGCTCCCAATCCGCTTATAGATCCTCCTGCAGCACTTATCTGCCCGCCCTCGCATCAACTTGATTACCAGACATTAATGGACATTCCTATACCCGATCCCTCTTTTTTCCCACAGACGCTGCGCTATTCTCGTTCGCAGAGTGATCGCTATTTAGCAGGTGAGTTGATAGTGAGTAGTGAGTAGTGAGTAGTGAATATGTGGAGCGAGGAGCCCCCAACGAGTTCTCTTTGGCCACGAAACCAGCCGGGCTAAATGAGTTATTTAAATGGCCGGGCCGGAACATCAAGGCTAAATGGCAGAATGGCTGAATGCCTGATTTGATGCGCCGGTGGTCCTGCCAGCCAATTAGCGGTGTGTTATTAAGCCTGAGTGGTTTATAATAACAGTCTGTCCAAGGGGCTTGATTCATAATTTCTATAATTATTTGTGAGTCTGATCTATATGTGATGGGCTCCACGAGAAGGGACATACCGTACGGTTTTGTTTGGGGCAGCAAATCAGTTTCGAACTTTTGCTTTCATTTCGAGCAAACAATTGAAGGGCGGCCGTCATTTAAATTACTTTCATGTTCGCTGTCCAGCAAACGTGCATATCAAGAGCACCAGCAAACGGCGCTTTTTGCGAATTTCCAACACTTCCGTCAACACTTCACTACAAATGGCACCATTCCAAGCCCAATCCCCAACCGAAAATGGCTGTCAATCTGTCCATTCCGCACACCGTATTGTCCAAACATCCAATGGCGGACACGCACTGAGAAAAACAGGGCAGTTATCAAAAACCAAACCATGCTATAATGATTTATGTTGCTTTCTGGATAGATTCCTAGTTTTGTAACAAAATGGGCACAGAAACACTGAAGCACATAGAAACAACCCCATCGAATATGTCTTGCAATATAGGAAATGGAAGCTAGGACGTAGTTTTTGAAAGTTCAATGATGGAATCGGAAAAGCACTCTGTTTGGATTTTCCCTATGTGTACATAGACATATCTATCCACACATATTGCCTCTTGACCAGAGCTCGACGGCTGATGATGATGATGATGATGATGGTGCGATGGCACTCTGTGTGCTAAAAATGGCGTATAAATGAATGGGAGAACAAAAATTGAATCACAAACTGGACGACGCAGTGTCCTCCAGTGGCTGTTGGAGCCCTCATTCAATTTCGCTTTTTTGCAGCCTGACTGCCCCAGCGAATTATGCACATACAAAGCAGTGCGGAGCAATCTTGGCCAATGACGTCAGAGTGGCGGGTGTGGGAGATGGTCATTTTATGACCATTATCTGAGTGTTTGCCTGCCATTTCCGAGCGCACTGACGTCACGACAGTGACGTTTTCTCGACCAGAACGTGCCCTCCTAAAGGTCGCGGCCTTCGGGTCGGGCTTATCATGTGTACTTACGCGTATTTATATTGCCAATTTTATGTGTGCCACTGCATTGCTCATACGCTCCGTTGTCCATAATGACGGGCTTATTGTTATTTCTTAACGGAAGCTGACTTGCCAAGTGGCCTGCTCTTTTGTTGTTTGCTTTATTGAAAAGATTAACGCGCTGCAATGCATCAAGATTTATAAATGCTATTGCACAAGTACAAATCACACGCATTTATATTGTATTCCATTTATAAAGCTGCATGTCGTGTTCCGTGTTCCGCACCAAGTCACGCCCAAAAAACAGAAATACAACAGTGGGAGTAGATTAATGAGAAGTAATGTACACGAGTGATTTGCCAATGATTTCTGCTCATAATATTCCTGCTAAATCAATTAGTCTGGTTCAACAGCAAAAAATGGGCTTGTTTGCCAATGTAAGCAATGTAAGCAAACGTGATCCTTAAACAAACGTATTGCAGCTGTGTGCACTTCTACGATTAGAATTGTTCTGAATAACTGAGACCCAATGGTGATAGCCAGCAAATGTGCGGCTGTATCATCAAACCCTCTCCAGACACAATAATACCATTTACCATTCAACTCTCCATAAATCATAAAACCAAGCAAAAGCTTAACCTTGAAACACACTCAAGCGCACTCATAAGCGGTGGAAAAAACTGTGCCAAACCAACTGTGCACAAAGCACACAACCACGCCCACACCGCAGCCCGCACACCAACTGCGCCCACATTGCTTTCAGTGGAGCAACAGGTGCGGTTGTCGGTGTCTTGAAACTTTCACATGCCAACGTATAAATTTTAATGAATGCCTCATAAAACAAAAACAGGGAAAACGAAGAAAAACAAGTAAAATAAGTAAAACAGCAATAACACATAAGCCGACATTGCCCTGCCGCGCAGAGAGTCCTTTTGGCGAACATGGAAATGAAATAAGCATCATCAACATGACAGTTATTCATTTATTTATTTATTTGTTCGCCGTGGCCCTGGCCAGCTAACCACAGAAAATAATAACAAGCGATTGTGGCGCCGATAACTCTATGTTGCACGGGCCTCAGGAAGCAGCCCTACCACCGCCCATTTTCGGCGCACAATACCTTTGGGCCCTCGAAGAAGCACGAGAAGAATGGCGGCAGCGGCAGCAGCAGCAGCAGCAGAACATCCATGTTGCTCATACGCCCCGTTGCTCATACGCCCCGTGCGCCCGTCTGCTCGCTCGCTCGTGTCCGTTGCTTCGGGCGGACGATGGAATCGTGCGGTCGGCTCGCCATTTTCCGCTGGGAAAACGGGCTGCGTTGCAAATTCATTAGTGCTCTTACAGGCGCCGTGCACGGTTGTCGATTCTCGTGGCCGTACCGAGTGGAAAACTCGGGTGGAGCGCGTCGACGCCAGCGACTTAAAGCCAGGCCAAAACACAAATATTGAGTCAGAATAATAGCGTTGGGAAGGGCGAAGGAAAATGATCGGATTTTCGTGTGCATTGTGTGCTTGAAATGGAGTGCATTTAGTGTAATTTTTACCAAACAATACCAGAAATTCGCCCAAGACGGGTGTTGCTTATTATTTTCGGTCGGAGTAATCGCTGTTGTGGGTGCTTTTCAAGACGGCGCTGCCGAAACTGGCCAATATGCAACGCCGCATGTCCATCACCATACGCGAGTACAAGTTCTTCAGGAGCTTCTCGCAGAAGTTCGAGAACTGGCCAAAACGCAAGGCCGAGGCGTTGTGGCGGAAAATGCGCGAACGCAAGATTGCAGGTGAGCAGAACTGGCATTCGCGGACCTAACTTGTCGATATTATAAAATTATTATACCTATTTTGAACTCACAATCAATGGTACTTGATTCCTAAAATCGAGTTTTTCTGTTGTACTCGTGTGGAGTCAGTCAGCCATCCAGCCCCCGTTTCTTTCAGTGTGGCCCTGCTCAAGGGCGAATTTGAAAGTTGTTAAATACTTTGTTTACAATCATGGAAATATGCGAGTCTGGATCATCGAGCTCCCAGTGGCAGGAATGGGCGCGCGCCACTCGCACCGCCAGCAATTGGCTGTTTATAGTTTTTCAGCACCCACAAGGGGATGCTCCCACTCCTTCGAACACCCAGAATCCGTTTATTTTTGGTAATGGGAATGCGGGGCACGGCTATTTCCAGTGCCCAGCTTGTACTTATCAGTCGACGCCTCGCATTTGAATCGAATTATTTGCACCGCCAGTTTGGGACTATGTGTATCAATGTGGTGGGAGATATGGCAATACGCCTCCTACTCTGTCACTAGCATTCCGCCACTCAGTCAGCCAGTTGGTCATTCAATGTTCCCGCTACATGCATTTGATATATCCACGTACATTCCGCCACTGACCATCGGTCATCATCATCAGCATCAGCATCATGGATGATTCCAGCGGTTTCGCCGTTTTCTTTACACTCTAGTGAAATTGCGCGCCAGTCAAGCAAAGCCATTCATTTAAATAAAGAAAATTGTTTGCGTGTAGTAATAAATGGAAAAAAATTATTATACAATTAATATGTATGTACGTGAACACGTAAAAAATGCGGGAAATTGTTTTAATTATAACTCGTACCTGCCTCCACGGTTCGTGCCTCCAAAAAGCAAAATTTATGAATACGATGCTTAAAGTGTATATACAATTTAAATGGCCAGTGGGAGAAGCATTTTTATGGTTGATACAATTTCCTTGTTCTTTAATTCGGCGATTCCTTGGGGAAAACTCACATCGAACCACCTGTAAGCCACCAGCATTTTCCGCTGTTCAATTTCATTTCCATTCGCTTTTCCCCCTGCCATTTTGGGGTTATAACAACGTACAAACCTTCCATTCTTGTTTGTTTTGCTTGTGAATTTTTATTTATCTTGCGAATGCGAAATTCGTTTATTTTCATTGTGTGCGAACGGCGTTCGGCGTTCGGCGCATATAATACGCTGACATTAAAAACACATTAAAAGCTCAATGATCTGGTATATTTGGCCAGCAAATTCCCCAAGGGGCTCCCTGCTACTTGGCCCCTAATTACATTGAGGGCCCAAAACGGTTGCTCCCGGCGAAGTGAGCCACTCCACCCATCGATTGGCGAGTTCACGGCAAATTAAACTTACTAGCTGCTGCTCCTGCCACTTGTTGCACCCGCTCGCAGGCCAAAAAGGGAGTTGGTTAGAAGAAGGGAGACGCCGTGGCACACACTTATGGCCCAGGAATGTATAAATAGCTTTATCCTTTCAGCAGGCAACTGGCAGCAGGCTTTTGAGTGCCCAGTGAAGAGGAAAGGAGTGTGCACATGTCTATTTATGTTCGGTTGGCCTGGCCCAAAGACTCTATTTAGAAAACGGAAAACTGAAAACGGAAAGCGGAATGTTACAAGTTCACAGGCACGGACTGCTATTTCTGGGATGCACTTTATAATTAATAATCCACTTTTGGCCAGCATTCTCTTTGATGGCTCAGCAACAAGGTGACTGAAATTTATGTTCCTCCCGACATTTGAATGCAATGCCAGACAATAAAACATCCGCGCCGCTTGTTTTGCCAATGGCCAGTTGGCCATTAATTAATGGCACGACACCTACGACAATTATTTATCTAATGGGAAGTAGGAACGTACTCGGTTCACTCGCATCTACCATCGGCAGCGAATTGCATTGTTTTTGGCTCCTGGGGCGATGTAATTTACTGTTTATATGGCAGCATAATTGGCATATGAAATCGCTTAGCGGCAAATTAATGAAATTGCTGAATAATGTTTCGGCCAGCCTGCGGCAATTGAATTAGCTATCAATTAGTGTCAACCGAAATCGATTTACAATTCATGCAGCTAGAATAGCAGCGTGTTTTTCCCACTGAGCTCGATGCTTTTACGGCATTTGTTTTCGTACACTTAATCACATTAGGCCAGCTTAAAGTTTCAGCTCTGCGTAACAAGAGCACTCTTCGTTATGGAAACGCATGCCACACAGGCCAAATCCTTTACATAACACATAACCAAGTCGGTCGGTAAACGCTGTTGTCTGTCATCCGCATACAATGCCATCTCACGCAGCTCGACTGCATTTTTCTGGAGCACACACACACACTCGTTTTCAGGAGTGGAAATGCGTGTCAGTGACACGCACCCACACAGTGAGCAGAGTTTTCCAGGCGAAGGATAGAGTCTGCGGCAATTGTGTTAGGAACTTTGCTTTCATTGACACTTTCCTTTCCTCCGCTCCACAGCGCACAGAATCAGAATGCTGGCTTGACTTTTACCCATTGTGGTCCTTGTGGGCGGCTCTTGAAATCAATGCAAATTTTAATTGAAAATTTAAACAAATTTAGTAGACACAAGCTTAAGCTACAGCTTCAATTAATGCCGTGCTCAAAAGCGAAATTATGTATGCAGAATGCTGAGACAAAGGAGAACAAGCTCAAAGATAAGCTCAGTGGAAACTCATTTCTAAATGGAGAATTAAATTGATTAGGTTTAAAGTGCACATTATCACCATTGAAATGTTCGCATTTCGGGGACAAAAAGTATGCTATTATTAGCACTTTTCCGAAAATGAAACAAAGCCCTAATTATTTCTGGTCTAGGAACAAATTAGTTGGCTTGTGAAATTCAATATCACGTGGATAATCATCGGCGATTTCAAAGTGCAAAGTTCACTGTTCACAGTACGCAATAAGCCAGAAAAGAATGTGTTTTTGGTTCAAACAACAACGGCGGAAGGCAGTCTGCCTGACATTTTGTATATTTTCGAATTAGCCTTAAGGTCAGGACGCTACATCGTGGAAGTGCCGGTGATCAGCATCGTCTCATGTTGCAAACGCCCCCAAGCGCCCACCACACTCACACTCACACACACACACACACACACACACACACACACAGGCACACTCGGGTCCATCAGAATAATTATTATCCTGGGCTCAGGTGAGGTTCATGAATTTACGCGTCGCTTGTTTGGAAATGTTTAAAGGCGTCGCTGGCTTTGGGGAAAGCGCGGGGTCGCGGGGCACAATACTGTCCAAAGGACAATAAGGACAACAACTGGGCGGCGCTGTGCACGTGTGTGCGTGTGTGGGTAAACATGTTCAAATATTGAACCTGACGCAATAAGCTGTGAGTGAACCTTTAACACACACACAATGTGTAGGTGTACATTGTTTTACCCGCTTTAAATGGCTTTTAGATGAGTTTGCGACTGCGACGGCGACGTCAACGCGGCGTATGCGTAATTTATACCACGCTCGAGTGGCATTTAGAGGGAAATAATACTGCCAACGCAGAGTTGGCAATTGCGGGATAATTAATGCAGGATAGTAATTATGTCTACTTGCAAAATTGCAAACACGAGTGGAAAAACAGCGACACAGTTTTGCTTACAGTTTCGTGCTTAAAAACGTTGTGATTTAAGTGAACTTCTATACTGGAAACTTTGCAGTCAAGTGAATAGCAATATTATTTAATTATTTAAACACCAATACTGCAAGACTGTAACAAGCAAGGCAGTGCCTTTCTTATAAACAAGTCAATTTGACGGCACACAAGTCGAAGTAATCGTCCTAATCGTAGACGTGTAACGCTATATGTAGCGCCATTACCACCCACAATTTGCATACATAATTTAAGGCTGCTCCGAGTTGGCAGTAATTCCTTGGGTCAGCTCCAGCGGAAACAGTGGGCATGGACGACCTGGCCGGGTGCCCGGATCCGCTGGAAGCGGGTCACGCGTCCGGCCAGCAGCTGTCAGAGTGCCAGCAGCATAAATCGATGTCCAAGGGTTGCTCCCGTTTATAAATAACTGCAAAGACAGTGGGAAATGGCAGGAAACCTGGACAGGTGCCCCCATATTCGCTCCATTGGCTTGCCGTTTTGCCGGTGGTATCGGCATCCTCGTGCAAGTTAATCGCTTGCAAAACTCAATAATAATTCACTCAGCAGCCACCCCACCCCCCGTTTTCGACATAGGTTCCATATTTTCCTGCTGCCAGTAAGCAGCCGGAAACTGTTTCATGTTGTCGCTCAGCCTGATTAAAAATCAATAGCTCTGTCGCCAGAGCCCGTTACTCAAATTGAACCAAGCTGAAATAGCAAAAATAAATAATGCCGTGGCAAAAGCAACAGCAATAGCTGAGCAGATTAGCATTTAAAATAGCTGAGGCCAAGTGCCTTTGGCTTCCTTTGTTTCACTGGCCAACTGGCTGGGATTCGAACTGGATTGAATTCATTGTGCTCGCAGAGGCTCATAAAAAGTATGACTTACATTTGTTATTTGCGGTTCAATGCGTTCTTTGTCTTCTGTCCTCAAATTAGCCCAGCATAAATAAGCAATTTTATCCCTCTGAGCTGCTAAATCCATTTTCATCTACCAAGTTCCCATTCCTCTGCAGCTTTTACTTTCGCGCCGCTTTGGCCAAGGTAAAGTGGCTGTGGATGCAACAATTTGAGCCCATGACCAACCGTAGCCACATCATTTTAAACCGTCAACTCCATTTGGTCGGCTTACAACGTAATCCATCAACTGACCCTGAAAAAACCGTGGACAATGGCCAGACTTTGGTGACGGCTTCTTGACCAGGCCGCTCTTAATTGGTTTTGCTGGCCGGTCGGATTGAATTTGGTGGGGCAAAAGGGATTCGCTCGCAACTTAATTACAATTAATTTAATTCTGCCTGCGTGGCGTATACGCAATATGAAAACTCATATTCATCCTGCACTTTCCCCTCTCTCTCTTTCCCTCTTGCAGAAATCGAAGCCGTGGAGGCTTGCAAATGGCTGCGAGCTGCAGGTTTTCCGCAATATGCGCAGATGTACGAAGGTAAGTGCGAACCACGACCCCAAACTGCCCCCACTACGCACTTCCGCTTGCGCTGCACTGAGAGAAAGGGGGGTACTTGAGTATTTGAGTATTTGATTTGAACATCGGGGGACAGGCCACTGAAAACGATTCGGTCCTTGCTAAGCCACAGTTCCACAAAGAAGTCCACTTTGCAAGTCCCTATTTTCCGCGGTGCATGTCGCCCCTGGGGGCGTGGCAGGCTGGTGCTCGGTAATTGATGGTCTCGTCATCGGCGGTGACGCAGCAGCAGCAGCAGCAGAAACAGCAGAAACGGCGACCAAGGCACTTGACCAACATGCCATTTAGTCTTGTGTGTTTAACGCTCGCCAAGTGGCAGTTTATTAATTGTATTACACGAACTTTCACTTTCGCCACTGCGCCCAGCACCCAGCGCCCAAGTAGCAGAAAAATAAACAACCAACGAACAACGACGACAAAACATTTATGACGTGGCAACATTCGAGAACAATTTAAGTGCCGCCTCACGACGTCTAAAGATTTCAACACCAAACAAACCAGACAAAGAGCTGCGCTGAACATGATAGTGAAAATTGATATCCCAAACACGCGGCACAAACCGCGACAACAATTAGGCCGAATGGATCCCGATGGATCCCCGATCCGATCCGATCCAATTCTATCCAAGTCCTTTCAAGCGAAAACGAAAGCCCAGCAACGCCTACCTAAGGGATCGGGGCAATCTTTGGAATTCAACCCAAAGCAACGCACAAAAAACACATAAGGAACCGGCAAAAACTCGTGAAGCAACCAAACTAAGATAAAATATAATAAAAGGCTAAAGGACACGCAGGCCACGAGAATTTATGGGGACCACCTTCGTAAAAAAACGCGGCACAGAACCGAAAATTAAAATGGTTTCGGTTTTTTTCCTTTTGAGAAGAGAGCTAAGAAGAGGGCTTTGGCCTTTGAAGCGGGGCACTCGAAAACTACAACCACCAGCCAAAATGTTAGCATAAGTTCATTGACCCGCGCAAGCTGCATATTTATTTGACTTCCTTAATCGCAAGCGAAGGCGACCCTTCTTCTCCAGCGCATTTGTCGCAACGCATTTAACGCCCGGAGGCCTCGCAGATTGATGAGCCGCTAAGATCTGCAGAGATTCGGCAAACAAACCCGAAAAGTACATTCTGAAGCCCAAAAAGTTCGGCGACTTCATTTGAATTATGACCAACCAGTCAGCAGAGCCGAGGAACGCCAAAACGCGCTGGGCAAAAAGTGAATCTGAAATGGAGAGCCTGCAATTTGGACATGTCCGCAGGCGCCCTGTCGCCGACCTTGAAATATGCGAATGGTATTGCATAAATTCGAGGCCAGAACCCATGGAAAAGGCACTCAGAGAAACCAGACGCGCTTTTCCATATGTCAGTCTCTTGCACATATTAGTCACATATCACTGGAAAGTGCATATATCTATAATTAGTCCGCCCAACTAACGTTTTCGAGATAGAGATTCTTTGCCTTACTAAGAATATATTTTTCCTGAGTGAGTATATTCCCGACTTGTGGAATAATTCGTGCGCACATTTAAACTGGAGCCCCACCCAGGACCCAGGCTTCAATTCCAATCCCAATCCCAATCCCATCTGCATGAGTACCTTCTGCTGACCGGGGACAACATGATAAATGCGTATTTTAATGAGTTTCGTGTAAACAAGGCAGCGGCGCATGCGCAGATGGCTGCTCAAATTTCCTGGGCATTTGGTGAATTCTTAGCCGTTTTGGCCCTGCGAATCAAAATGCCGTAGGTGTGTAAGTTGCTCGCGCTCTGTCATTGGATTTTGGCTTCTTGGGCCGACTTGGCGGACTTGGCGGACTTGGCGGACTTGGGCTGCTGAAAGGAGGTGTTCCAGCTGTAAGCGACTGTTAATTTGGCCAGGGACCCAGGACCGAGTATTCCTCGCCAGCCTTTGTTTGCGTTTTGCTCATTTCTTGCACTCACATTACTCACTGAAAGTGGCAGACTTAATTCGAGGGTGTGACCTGCGCCAGGCCAGGATCATATGGGAGTGCTTAAGAGGGCAATAAGAGCTCATGAGGCTTGGCAATCGATTTTTTGGTCCAGCGCAACCGGTTTTCCTGGGAGCGCACAACTCGAGGAGTGGTAAAAATAATTCACTGGCGTCCCATAAAGTATCACATATTTACAATCCAGTTGTCCATATTACTGACTTTTTTAAGTTCTATCCCAGTAAAGTCTCTATGGCAAAGTCTAAACAATAATTACTTCGTGGAGACCCCATAAAGATCTATATTCGAATGAAATCCGCATCCTAATTTAGATTCCAGGCTAATTGCTTCTATATTTCCCCAAAAACAGCCATAAATTGTTCCAAATTACATTCGATTTCCACTGCAATCTGCGTCATTGACTGGGGAAAAAGATTACTCATATAATTGGCCCAATAAACGATTTCCCACCTTTACACTCTCGTGTAAACTGTGAAAAGCCTCGCAGGAAAAAAAAACAAAAAGCCGCAGAAAGTTACACCGACTTCCCAACAATACCTATCTGACGTCAGACGAATGTACTACCCGAAACTCCCAATGGGTTGTCGAACACTTGGTGGCAGTGGCACACTTCCCCGTGGTGTTTACACCTGGGCTTTGGCGTTCAATTAAAAACTAAACACACTCAACACTCGACTGTTTGAAGGGAAGCATCCGAAATGGCCTTATAAATACGCAGCAGGGCCAAGAGTACGGAAAGAATGGCGCTGGAGGAGCGTAAACAAGACTATAAAAAGCTTCCTTCATGAAAGGGAAGAAGAAAGGAGTTGGGGCGTTACTGGCAGCCGAAAGTTCAACAAACCATGAATGGCTTTTCTAGGAGAACAAAATATTGTTGCAATGCTAACAATATTTGTGCAAACAATGCTGCTTTTCCAGGCATCCAGTGCATCCTACGGATGCCGAGCATCGTTATCTGCAGCTGCAGATGCAAATGTATCTGTATCTGCAGTACGGCTGTATCCGTGTGACGCGGCGCGACATGTGTAAACGTCTGGGTATAATCTTTTCTTTATAATTTTTCTCGTTTTTTTTTGCGAACGAGGCGGCGGTCGCCTTGGAACTTGATTTCCTACGTGCGAATTGGCCACGCAAATATGTGGAAAAGCGCTGTGGAAACTCACTGCCCGATGTGGCAGACTACTATATATCGCATACACAGAGCCAACCCGACTCGTACCCGTTTAATGATCGCTGGCGCCATAGGCGTTCGACTTTTCAGGTTTCTCAATTAGAATTTCACGCGTCGTCGAGGCGTGCGGTCGCAGATACTTACACTTCACTCCATCCAGCCTAGAGCGTCCTTCTTACGGGAATTCCCTTGCCTTTGCAGATCATCAGTTCCCGATCGATCTGAACAATGTAGCCAAAGATCACACCAATCTCGAGAACGATCAGCTGCAGTCCCTCTACCGCCGGCTCTGCGTCCTCAATCGTTGTGCCACCATGCGGCTGGACCAGTCGCACAAGCCGCAGACACCACAGGTAAGATGGTGCCACTGCTCTATGCAACATCCCGCAGGATGTTTTATTAAATAAGACTACTAACCCCTGCTTTTAATCACCTGACTGCCCTTAGCAAAAGGAGGAATCGGACGACGAGAACTTCGCTTTGAGCGAGCACTGGACATTCCAACCGCACATTCGCCGCTGGTCGCGGATCGGGGAGATGGGCCTGGAGCTGCCGCCTCCGGGACTTTTGAGCCTGAACGTGGAGAAGACGGAGAGCTCGTCGAAGGAGTCGAGTCCGGATCGCTTCGAAGAAGATGGTGCTGGCATCACACTGGTGATACCGGGCTGCAGCAAGGCAGGTGGAATCGCCAACGACGGATCTTCGTTGGGCGAGGGATCAGATAGCGGTCGCTTGAGGAGAAGTGGCAGCGAAAGGATCAAGGATCAGGCCAAGGCCTTGCTGAGACGGGTGGAGTCCATCAAGTCGCGCCGTCGTAAGCGTCAGAACCGCGAAAACGTCGTCATCAGTGGACCTACAGTACTGGACCTTTCGCAGTTCAGCCAGAGGAGCAGCTTGCGCAAGCCGGATGCCGTCTATTCCACCCCGCCCTCGCCGTCGGCCCTGAGCCCCATGCACACATTCCCCAAGGCGCCGTTCTTCGGCAACGACCTCAAAGTGCCCAGTCACAGTGACAATTTCCTGAGTCCCAATCGCTCCAGTCCCAAGAGGACGCCGACTACTCCGCGCTCGATGCGCACCAGTCCGCTGCACTTCTTCTCCAGTCCCATGTCGCAACTGAAGGAGGGCAAGTCCGATGACTCCTCGTCGTACTACAGCGACAGCCAGGAATCGTCCACGGGGGGCAAACTATCCCTGCGAAAGCCCTCGAAGGCTCGAAGATTCCTGCAGCGCACGGGAAAGGTCGATGATATAGGCGCCCATTCCGATTCGGAGTGTCATCAGGGACGCAAGCTCCTCATAAAGGATGCCAACTCCAATACCACAGAGGTGAAGGTGAAGAAACTGACTCGCGGAGGATCACTGAATTTGGGCAAGGACCCCAAGAAACGCGACGGCTTCCGGTCGTCATCCTTCCGGTCACGCAGCACCTCACGCAAGGAGGCCAAGAACGATGAGGATCCTGCTGGCGGAGCCTCAAATGGTGGATCCAAGCGACAGCCCGTGGTTCGTTGGCACAGTTTCCAGATGGAGGAGCGCCCCAATATGATATTCCGCAAGTGCTTCTCCAAGAAAATCGAGCCCCTGCAGGAAGATGCCGGCGGAATGCCATTTGCCGCCATGTCGGCGGGTCAGCTGCAAATAATCCGTAAGCTGGCACTGGTCACTCTGACCGGACACATGGAGCGGTACTGTCCATCCCATCGCTCGGGCTGGAACTGGGAACTGCCCAAGTTCATCAAGAAGATAAAGATGCCGGACTACAAGGACAAGAAAGTATTTGGAGTGCCGCTGCTAATGATCCTCCAGCGCAGTGGACAGACCCTTCCCATGGCCGTGCGAGCCGCCTTCCGCTGGCTCCAGTTGAACGCCCTCGACCAGGTGGGAATTTTCCGGAAGAGCGGTGGAAAGTCGCGCATCATAAAGCTGCGCGAGCAAATTGAAGTCACCGATTCCACTGCCGAGTGCATGGATGTCTTTGATCTGCAACAGGCCTACGATGTGGCCGACATGCTGAAACAGTATTTCCGCGAGTTGCCCGAATCTCTGCTGACCACCAAGATGTCCGAGACCTTCGTGGCCATCTTTCAACGTAAGTAAATGTAGTTCTCTTACAAACAAATAAATATCTCATAGATGCATAAATTGTTTGCATACCTAATGATCTGATTTTCAAATCCTTAGATCTGCCGGCTGAAGTGCGACTGGACGCAGTGCAATGTGCCGTGCTGCTGCTGCCCGATGAGAACCGGGAAATCCTGTACGTACTGCTCGAGTTCCTGACCATTGTGGCGGCCAACTCGCAGCAGAACCAGATGACCAGCAACAATCTGGGCGTGTGCCTGGCCCAATCCATTTTCCACTCCTCCATTTCGACGGGCTCCGCCTCCGTATCCGCCTCGCCGCGTCGCAAGGGCAAGGGATCCGGAATGCCGGACATGAAGGAGCTGGCGGAGGCGAAGGCCTCCCACGAGTGCCTCTCCTTCATGATCGAGCACTACAAGCAGATCTACACGGCGGCCAAGGAGAAGCTGAGCAAGTGCAACTTCAGCTACATGGAGGAGTCGAAGCCACTTCCTTTGGAGGCTCTGGGCGAGGGAATGCAGTTCCACAACTGGCGGGGATACCTGTACGAGTGCACCAGTGCCACCATCAAGGAGGGTCGCGAAAAGTAAGCTCCTTCACATCAGGTACAGGCTCCTACTTACTTAACTGGTTATTCCAATCCTAAACAGAACCCGCGGCTGGTTTAGCATCAATTCCCTGAACGACAGCAGTGTGGACATTGCCTACAAAAAGGTGGGCGATGGTCATCCGCTGCGACTGTGGCGCTGCTCCACGGAGATCGAGGGGCCACCCAAGGAGGTCCTCGAGTTTGTGATCAAGCAGCGAGCCTCCTGGGACACGAATTTGCTGCAATGTCAGACGGTCAAGAAGCTGGACGACCGCACTGAGATCTACCAGTATGCTCTGGACGGCCAGCTGACCACGGACTTTTGTGTGCTGCGGTAGGTTTGCAAGTGCCGTAAATACTTAATGTAATTAATGTAATCACTGCTAACCTCTCAGCTCCTGGCAAACAGACTTGCCGCGCGGTGCCTGCGTCATAGTGGAGACCTCGATCGACCACGCCAAGGCGAAGCCGCTCTTCGGGGCGGTAAGGGGCGTGGTCCTTGCCTCACGATATCTCATAGAGCCCTGTGGCAGCGGCAGATCGAGGGTGATGCACCTGGCTAGAGTGGACGTCAAGTGAGTTGCGATTGATTCAACACGTATCCTGGTGTAACAAACTGGTTGCATACTTTCAGGGGCAAGACGCCGGAGTGGTACAACAAGAACTACGGACACATATGCTCGCACTATCTGTCGCGCATTCGGCTGGCCTTCAAGCACGTGGCCGATGGACCCGAAAGCAAGGTCTAAAGGAGATATAAATGGAAAGGATATAACCATCCTGGCGTTGTCTGTCGCAAAACTGACGCATTTATACGTAATTATATGATAGCTGGAGGATGAAGTTGAAGTCCCCACTGCGAGCAGCCCAACGATTACGCGGAAAAATCCAATCAAACCCACGGACCACAAACATGAGCTTGCGTTTCATCCTGCAAAATGGGATGAAGCGGGATCAGAGAGAATATATTCTTGTAAATACACTTAGTAGGTTTCTCCATTTAGTTTTCGATTAGACGTAACTGCTTAGTTTACTGTATTATATTTATACGTGGTCCTAACTTATGCGCATACGTTTACTGTACGACAATAGCAATCTAACATCCAAAATACTCAACACACGCAAATATCACAAAGTATATATTTAACGATTTCTCTTGCTAAAGTTTACGTCTACGTTTACGGCACTCCAAATCTTTAATGTTAATTAGTTTGTAGTCTTGGCAATATGTTACAGCGTATATTCGGGAACACAGAAAACAGCAAAAGCAACCTTAAAATGTGTAAAGCAAATTCAACTAGTCAAATTTTATAAATTTAAGCTAAAGTACTAACCTTAAATACACTCATCGACAACCACTTTGTCACCCAATAGTTTTGTCAGCAGATATCGATTGATTTGGCTTCAGATGTTGATTGATTGACGCCGCATTACCTGAACACTGAGATGTACGATTGTTTCCACTATGCGGTGTGAAATCAGAATGATTACCACTATCATTAGTTTATGGATGTGCCCTAAGATCCCCGATCAATATATATATACTATACTATATAATATAGTTTTATATGTGTCTATAAATACGTTACCACATAAATCTATAATCGAGTGTACGAGTTACCAATGAATGCCGGTGATGACGAGGAAATGCTGATCAGAAACACGGAAACAAACTACCAATGTGAAGTGTATAGAAGGGAGCAGTAACTCAAATATTCGATGCATAAAGGAAATCGCAATAAAAGTGCATATTATGGAAATGCGAAACATATAAACCAAGTATTACGTCTTTTGCTTGTGGGAATTTCGTTGTTGCGTGGCTTAGAAATGGCAGAGAAATGGCGTAGATCTGTCGGAAAAACATTTTAGATTTTTGAAATATTACTTTGGTTTTAAATTTTGGTTGTTTTGTTCAAACGGTTAAGGCTTAGTGGCGCCCCTGCCGCCCTCTTGCGGAAGCAGCACTTTAACCGATTCAGCTGTTGTAGATGGCGCCCAATCCACTTGCTCTGCCCGTGCAGGTGGCGTCTGCTGGCGATGCCTGCACAGGTGGCGCCACTACATGGTATTTGAGCCTGCAAGAGCAACAGTGCGTATGAGTAATCAACTTTAAGACTTCAAAACTACTCTTGTGTGCTGTATAAGCCGACTGACAGTAAAGGGATAAGTTAAGGGCCCATTAATGCAGTAAGTACAGGGTTGCAATCAATTTAATTACAGATAGATTTCTCACGCAACGGACTACATTTTCCAAGTCGCCGCACACTTGGCTAAAGCGCCCAATTAGAAAACCTGTTCCAATCGCACCCATTAGCCGCGCCGATCATAATACCAACTTATTGGCAGTTTAAAAACACGTGAGCCTTGTTGCTCTCTAATTGACTGCCGCCCAAGCGAGGCGCCGACTAATAAATTGACAGCACACGAGTCGCCGGCCGGGAAATGAAAGCCCACCTCTCTCGCTGGCTTACACATGTCGGGCACAAACTGTCGCTAATTGTGCCCGGACCCCGGGCAGCCCCAAAAACTGACCCCGAAAAAAGCTTTGCGAAAGGAAGGCGCTTACACACACTCCCATTCGCTTTGCATTTCCCCCCGCACGAGCGGCAGACATTAAAAGTCCATTAAAAAATTATGTTCGCCATGGCGTGCTCGACTCCTGTTGGGGCGTTTGGTTGTGTGCGAAGGAAGGCAATTTGTGCACTCGAAACCAAAGGCGATTTGGAATTGGTAAATAATATTCAGCAGAAGTCACCGCTGCGCAGGAAGTTAGCTTTTCCTGCTATCTATTTTGGATCCATTTGTTCAGATACAACTACCATTTTATTTGGAATATAAGCTGACCAATGCAGTGTTTAATTACTTAAATGCTTATAAATATATATTTTTTAAATACCTAAATATTTACAAATTACCTAAATGTGAAAAAATATATGTTTCATATTTCTTTATTACTTGGCACTGGCTTTACTCGCCCAGAATCCATAGCACAAATGTGGTATATGAGTAGAATGCTACCACTATTTCGCTCAGTGTCAAGCTGGCGACCTTAATGGCCAGGTTGAGACTATACTTAGAGTGCAAGAAACTACTGCTGCTGGGGGAAGTCAGGCAAGGCATAATTGTAATTGCAAATTGCATATTGCAATGTTGCCCACATGCAGTGACATCGATTGCAGCAGCGGCGGCGGCGGCGGCGGTGGCGGTGGCAATGCAAATGTCCAACGTATTGATTGCATTAATTAATTAATTTGTGACTTAATTTCATGGGCTTGCGGCAATCAGCGCGCCCTGCACGCACCGCTGCCAAAATGTATTAATATTGCAGCCAGAAAGAGTCAGGCGACTGATGCGCCGCCGCACGCGTGTGCGTGTGTTTGCCTTGTTATTAATTGAAATTTAATGGCACAAAATATTTTTATTTATTTATTCGACTGCAATTGCATTTATGCGCACTTCCGTCGAATGCCTCCATCCCGCACACACGCATTTTGCAGCAGCATCAACAACAACAACCGCCGACAGCGGCTGGCATTTAACATCAAAAGCCCTGCCCAGACCAGACCAGACGCCCCGCCACGCCCCGCACCCCAGCCGATGGGCCACGCCCCTGCCACCAGCCCCCTGGCTATATGGCCAACGAGCTTGTAATTGATTTCACTTAAAAATTAAATAATGCATGCGGTTTTTACTGTAAAATGGATTTTCCAAACGCTGCCGCCGCTTCTTTCTGCATTTGCCGCGCCTTCTATCCTGCTCTATCGCTCCTCCGGCCGCGGCCGTGTTAAATTAAATATGAAAATAAATATCAACATAATTGAAATGGCAAGGAAGGCAGCGGGAGCTGCAAAAAATCGAGTAAAAAGTATAAAACCGATGAAACAGCAAAGGCAGCCAGAGCGACAGACACAGTGCAGCTGGGCGACGTAATTGATGAAATTATTTAAGAATTATTTCACAAATGCGGCGTGACAATTATGCGGGACTATAGCCCAGATCATGAACTGGATGCACAGAGAGAAACGGGGCAACACACGTGGCTAGTTACACGAAAATGCTAGCATTGGGCGCATTGGGACATTTTTTAACTTTTTTGAATTTCTACATCATACATCAGAAAAATTACAAAATAAATTGAAAAAAAATAAATTTATAAATTTGAATGCAGATTTTTAGAGAATTGCGATAGAAACATTTAGAGGTATGCCACTTTAAAATCCGATTGAGATAAGTTGAGTTATGGAGTTTAGAACTTCAGCCTAAGGGTATTTCTTAACTTTTTTGAATTTGTACAACATCATACATCAGAAAAATGAGAAAAAAATTAAATTTAAAAAATGTTCTAAATTTGAATGCAGATTTGGATTCACTAACATGAGAAAGTGCTTTAAGTATACAGTTTGCCAACCATAAATAAATGTACGAATCCCAAGCATATGTCGGGCCCTCAAAATCCAACACCGCTGTGCTCGTGTTTCTTCCAGTGCACGAGGCATATAAACGGGCAAATAATAAAGCAGAAATTGTATTTAAACGCAGCCTGTAATTAATTATCTGCATTGGCCGCCTCTTCGCGGGGAGGGGGGTTCAGTGTTGATCGCATGCCAAACAGTGCCCGCAATAAATTAATGAACCGAAAAACAATTATCATAAATAGCAGCGGCAGGCTGCGCACTCGCGACACTTTTGCCATGAACTGATTTGCAATTCCATGTTGCTGCGAATTCTTTGTGAAATATTGAACATATTGCAATTACAATTTGCGATAAATAAATACAAAATGGCATTCTCTCAATTGATTTTTAGCATAAAACCGAGTTCACCGAGCCGCCATATAATTGCTTGCAATTTCCGCTTAATTTGGGCATTCAAAATAAATTCCGCTGACGTTCGAGGCAGAGCGAAGTTCCCGAGAACTCCAAAGTGCCTTCATGCACTTGCCCAGCAACATATTTTGCCTTAATTAATTAAAAATTATATTTGCATTCATTTGCGCCTGTATTCTGCACATGCAATTGCCAGCGCAAAAACAAACACAACATGCCTATCGTTTTCCACGAACTTTTCTTGCAACAGAGACAAATACTGAAAAGTCCAAATAAAATAAATACAAAAAAAAACAGCTTAAGAAAAGCCAACAGAGGCAGCGGCAATTAAAACGCGAAACGGCAAGCTACTTGATGTACTGACGCGTTTGATTCCCAGACCTGCTCAGCAAATGTTTGTTGTTTCGCTGGCTAATTCGCCCTAAAAGTGTTTGCGGCCCCAGTCTCGAGTGTCCGCATATGGCTGCCATTGCGATTCCCATTCTGATCCCCATCCCCATCCACATTCCCATTCCCATTCCCCCTCGAATGCCAAATGCTGAGAACTGCCGGCTAATCAGCGGCACGTCAAACGCCTACGCAAGAATGCGCCCGCGGAAAAGAGCTAAACGCGAATCGCGAAACTGGATACGGCAGTCTGGGGAGATGTAGATGGAGATGGAGATGGAGATGGGGCTGAAGATGCAGTGGAGTGGAGGATGTCGGAGGACGCGGCCAAGACGATGACAGGGCAGGCAATCCAGGCCACCAGTGGAGGCAATCGACAATTGTCTTGGGCCACTGCGACTGCGAGCTCCAAGGAGCAAAAAGTTGGCGTTGCGACAAATTTGTGCACCCTGTAAAGGTGCAGTTCTGGGGCGTATCAGTGCTGGAGTTGTTCAGTTAATATTTCAGTTAATATTTCAGGTAGCCCATACTAATATGATCGCATAATGTCGCATCTATTGAAATATTGAATGCTAAGTACAGGGTAACAACCATTCGTCTCTGCCACTTGCAGTCTAGTTACCCGATCTTACTTTCCTTCCATACCTAGCGCCTTGGCCGCTGCGGCATCTTCGGCGCCTCCCCGGCCTTCATTTTGTTTGTCGTTGCCCGTTTTGCGTGCGCACTTTTAATTGCAATTGAATTTTAATTACTGCGTTGTCAGCAAGGAATGTTGCAGCCAGTCGTTTAAGTGCCGACAGCCAGTGCGATGGAGACAATGAGGCGGAGCAAATGGAGCAGCAGCAGCAGCTAAAAAACCTGGATGGAGGATGAGGACAGCTGCTCCTGCTGGTCCAGCTTCCCTTTTCCCGGTTCTTTGACTGTAAAATACGGCTTTGTCGTCGAGAGGCAGCAATTAAATGAGCGACAGCCGACGGCAGTTGACGTTTTAAAAGTCGCGTTTGCGCTAGCCGTTGCCTTTCATTAATCAGCAGCAGTATAAATGTGATGATCCGATAGCGTTTATCGACTGCTGATGACTCTATTTACTGCCCCCCAGCCACGGGCGCAGATAACCTAATGAGCAGCCCCACCCACATCGCCGTGCCCATCCGCAATTAGGAATGTCTGGCCTTTTGATTGAGTCTTGTGAATCGCGACTGATGGCCTCTTGTCTGGCATCTGGCACTCGGATAATTTAGCCAAGATTCATGCTGCTTCGGCTGGGTTTTCGAACGGCTTATAATGGGATTACGACTTATCAGCGGGCTAATGGGCAGTTAAAGGCAGCCACTAACCTATGCCCTTTGATGGAGATAGTTGTTGTCTACTTTGTAGGCACGCTAATCAATTAGTTTTTGAATAGGTAAGACACACTTCCTTAGGTACTTAAAGTTGCCTAAAAAGTAGCTTCACTTAACCCTTTTCACTTCCAGTCAAGTGCTACAGCCCAAAAGGAACAGCAGACTGCGGGTGACATTTTCCACCGGGCGGCCAACTCCACCAATCAACGGGGAAAATAACAAA